TGGATGGGATGGGATGGAAGGGAGGTGGAGAAGAAAGCACCTTACGTCGGTAGGTAAGGTAGGTGCTAGTAGGTCTTGGAGGGACTGGACTGGAGTAAATTGAGGTGAGTCGAGGTCAGGACAGGCCGTTGAGCGGGAGATTTGCAGGGAGTTGACTTATTAGTTGTCTTCTCATGTCATCAATCGGCCAGAAGCAAAGTACATCTACCTGCAAATAAAGGTTGACATGTACTTGATCTTGTATCTTGTGACCAATTGGCGACAGCCAGATCGTCCCAGGTCTCCGCCATCTTGACCCTCAACTAACTTAGTACATACATACTATGTAGGTATCCAAAATATAGTAGGTATGTAGGCTGCACCTGGTTTCTATTGAACACTTGTGTCTGCTCCCCTTCACTGGGCACCCGAGCCACCTCTGTATCCTTCGTGGGTTGGTTGATTGACCGCTTCGTTGCAAAAGAAGCAAACAAGAGACATCTCTCCTCAACAATGATACTAGCCCGAACAAGAACTCAGGCACCTCACGCTTAGACATTCGTGGTCTGAGATGCGCGTGGGTTGAGGTGTCTCTTCTCCTTAACTCCAACTGGAGCCCATCTTGTCGGGCCGTTGATGGAGGGGACCGTTGGTATTTATTAGTGGTTACTCTGACTGAAAGTCGCACAACACGTTAGAGTTCCAATTGCGTTTTTTTCAGTTGCACCTCTTGGTTAGTGCCATCTCTTCGAAGTCAAAATCAGTATGAAATTCATGATACCCTGACTGTGCACATGTTTCACTGCCCTCAACCTTCATGAGCTGGGGAGCATGGAGGTCGGCCGCGTCCACTCTGGGCAGTTTAAGCTCCAGCTTGGTAACATGATGTCAGGTCCCAGTAAGCCACCTTCGTGGGGGGGTCTCCAAGGCTAGGTACTTGGTTCTTCTGCCGTTCAGGTATTTCCCGCCTTCCGTCATCAGGAAGAATGGAGAATGGAAGGGGTGCTTGGGCCAGCGCACCTTTTAGTTAAGGTACCGAGGGTCCGGGTCCGGCGCTACGATTCTCCCGAGCTGCGATCTAGCCACGTTTTCATTGGTTAGACATGCTAGCTACGGAACCTACCCTGAAGCTTCCGCTGACGCGCCAAATGGGCAACGTATGCTTTTTGGGGAGCTGTCTCAGGAGGGTCTAGAAGTTGAGGTGTCTCGAGAGTTGCGAGCTTGCATTAATCAAACTTTGACCACAATTACCTTGCGGTACACGGCCACGACAAATTTTTATTCTTGACAGCTTCGGATATCTCAATAAATGAGTGTATCCCCATCTTAAGCCGTCATCATGAAGCCTTTCGCCATCACCACGGCGCTCTTTAGCTTCATATCTGTCGCACTCGCTGGCGCAACTACAGACTCCAAGGCATCAAAGGTCATCCTGCCCGTCGATTTTAAGCCTCCACAGGTTTTCAAGAACGCCAATTTGGTGCACGTAATCTCTCTAGAGAAGACCTACGTGAAGGAACAGATCAATGTCCTCGTCGAGAACGTTGCAAAGGAGCCGCAGACAGAGTACTATGTGCCATTTACTGCCGAACAGCTTCCTCGTATAGGAGGTTTCGAGGTTAAGGATCGTAAGGATGCGAACGCCGGACCGTTCGTGGCCGAGACTGTCGAGTACGATCCTCTCAGGTATGTGTCTTCGAGCCTGGATATGTCGCAGTTCACTACTAATGGTGCCATATAGTGATGTTCAGTACTATCGTATCCGACTGCCCACGCCGCTCAAGCCTGGTGCTCAACAAACGCTCGGAATCACCTACTATTACCTGAAAGCCTACACCCCTCTCCCCGCGGCCGTTTCCCAGGACGATGATCAATACCTGAGCTTCGACTTTTCCGTTTATGCACCATCTGCCTACATCACGAAGAAGCAGAAGACCGAGCTTAAGGCTGCTTCGGCCGACGTCCCCGATTATACAAAGCTTCCAGGCAGTGGCGAGGTCAAGGAGTTTCCTGTAAAGCAGGGCACCAAGCTCATCTATGGTCCCTTCGATGAAAAGCCCGCCGGTGCTGTCTCCCCTGCAAACGTTCGCTTTCAGTTTACCAAACCGGTTATTCACGTCAAGGAGCTGGACCGTCTGATTGAAGTCAGCCACTGGGGCGGCAACATCGCCTTCGAGGAGCACTACGAGATGTATCACGGCGGTGCCAACCTTTCTGACAACTTCGATCGAATCAAATATTCTCAGCATTCGTTGTACCGTCAGCATGGGGTTGCGGGAGTTCGTCCTTCGCACTACCTCGACCAGTTGCGAATTCCTCTTCCTGGCGGAAGCGTGGACGCCTACTATACGGATGTGATCGGCAACGTCACGACGTCTACTTGGCGAACCGACAGCCGAGACGCTCTTCTTGTTCTAAAGCCGCGATACCCTCTTTTTGGTGGATGGAGGTACCCTTTCACTATTGGATGGAACTCCGATGCTTCCAACTTCCTGCGAAAAACCGCCGCTGGTAGTTTCGTACTTCGAATTCCTTTTCTCGAAGGCCCCAAGCAGCCAGAAGGCGTTGAATATGAGCACATCAACGTCAATATTCTCCTTCCAGAAGGCGCCGAGTAAGCCGACAGTCCAAGCACTATCTGTGCCTTTGCTAACTTTGATACAGGAACGTCAAGTTCCACACCAACATTCCCGAATCATCGATCGTATCTACCTCGGTTGATCTGACCAGAACCTACCTCGATACTGTCGGCAGAACAGCTGTCAGCATTAAGGCGCGAAACCTGGTCGACGAGTTCCGAGACCGCCAACTCATCATCTCTTACGATGCGCCTCTCTCGAGCGCTCTTCGAAAACCTTTGGTCATCTTTGCCAGTGCCATGGTAGTATTTGTCACTACCTGGGCATTGGGCCAGGTGCAGGTGGGATTTAAGCCCAAGAAATAGACGCTTTAATAGAAACGGAACGTGCCTTTTGATTGAGGGGTCTTCACCTTTACATGATGAAGAGCCTGGAAGCAGCTGCTGGGAAAGATGTAAAAGTGTAAAATAGAGGGACGGTATTAGTAAATGGATTAGGTTTCCTGTTTCCAAGACGCAAGAGGCATCATATGACAATCAAATGCACGCTTGACAAAGGCAGCAAAGCCACCACCAAGGACAGGGTCCAAGCCATTATCCGTAAAGGCGGGCAACTCCGTAAGCCAGGTAGGCCCAGCCTCTTTTGAGAGCCTCTTGTGTACTTTGCCAGGTTCTAACACGGACTTGATACCACACGAAGGATGTGTGGAGGGACTGTGTCTCCCAGTTGAGCCTGAGATGGGTGGGCGAGACAGGCTCCGAATGGCCACCCTGGCTGAGGACCCTCTCCTTGTCTGCGCCAGGTTCTGACAGCATGGGTTAGTCAAAAGAAACCGGGCAAAGGAAACCAGGGCACTGGTATAAGATTGAACATGAGAACCCTCCTCGAAGCCTCACACATTCTTTTGCATTTATAATTTGACAACCAATATCTCAGGTTGAGGCTGATCAATCAGGGCCTCACTTTACAGTCGCTTTAACGATCTCGTTCGACTAATCCTGTCCTATCACAGCTACGACCAGTCTCACCCTCGCCGAACAAACCCTCAAACAACCACCAGGATGTGTTTCGGCAGTGAACCCAAGCCCAGGACCAAGTACTACTATCACGAAGAGATTACACCTTCTAGACGATACACAGGTCATCATCACCATCACCACCATCACCATCATCACTCACGCTCTCCCCGAGCAAGCTACACCAGTGTCTCTCGACGGTCCTACAGCCACAGCCCACGAAACAGTGGCACTGTTGTCTATGAGCGCTATTGATCGACTGAAGGCACCAATGCTGAATTGTGGGTGTAATTAGAGACGATGACGTTGTACAGGGCATGCGGTACTTGGCGGGCTGTGTTTAGCGGCATTTGCAATGTGTTTAATGTATAAATGAGGAACGTATGACTATTTGGGCAAGGTTTTGGGGGAAACTGTCTCGTTAAAGATATTGGAAACAGGGTGGGCGTTATTAATAATGCACAGGAATAGGCGACATAGCGCAAGCAAATATGATGGAGTTTTTTTTTGGTTGGCTTTGGCTCAATTGACTGTTGATCATAAGTTGTGACAGTAGAAAAGAAGTCAACTTAAGAATCTCAAGATGCTATTCGACCAATGTCTCTTCCATACATGAAAGGCTGAGCCTCGTGCTTCTTTCTCGGGAGCTACGGATCTTCGTCATTTGGAGCTGCCACTCTGTGACCCTTTGGAAAAGCCTGTTGACGTATCGCTTGGGCGGGTGCGGAGTGTCCCGCAAGGCTGGATCGTCGCTAGAAGACCTCATGACATCACTCTGCATTCCGCCACCGAACATCCAAAGGCTCTCTAAGACAGATACAGCGAGTTACTCCAAATGTGAGCGTAGGTGCAGCTGAAAACATGTACTTGTGCTACCGAAAGCAGGGCAGATCCAAGATGTGTTGGTGTCGTCAACGTCAGTTCAAAAGGCCATCCTGCTTGCTTAAAGCCTGCACAACCCCTGCCTTTGTATGTATCGGCAGCTTTAACATCTGGAGACCTCTTACATCCATCCCCCTTGTAAGAGACCTGACCCGGACCCAGACGATTTGCACTGATTTACCACCCAAAGCGGCTCTGCAGCTGAATTCTTGAATCGCCTTATTCCACTGTAAGCTGTCACCTATTTGTGTGAGGAGGTGCTGGGCCTTGTCTGTTCCATTACGAGGGAGCGGAGAAGGCAAGAATGTTTTGTGATGTCGAAGCTGACTATATGGAAGAAGGTGCATTCTGGCCGAGTCGCAGTTACTCTTGAGCGATAACTGCAGGATTCACCTGCCTACCTACCCTACCTTGGCTCTCTACCTACCTAGGTAGTCATCCTTCCTCAGGCCTTCAACATGTAAGCTCCCGTTAGCATCTTCAGCAATTGTCAACCTTCACATGTCGTCACGCCTTAACCAACCTTACTGTATATCAAAATACAATGTCTCGCTTCAGTTTCGACGCCTCTCCTTCACGCCATGAATCACTATGTTCGGAAAGCCCGATTGACATAAAACCCTTTTCTAGGAATCGCGCACTCTCCATTCGATCCAACAAATCCAAGGGCAGCTCTGGCGCTGGTGCCGGAGCCAAGCGCCCTGGTTTCTCCTTCAACTCACTCCGCGGCCAGGTCCAACCTGAGCTGTCCCGTAAGCTCTTCCGCCTCATCAAATCAGAGAACAACCTCATTGGCGCCCATGAGACCGCCGGCCGTGAGCGAGTTTCCATCGCAACCCAGTTATCTGAATGGGGTGAGCACACCGGAGATGACAGTATTAGTGATATTTCGGATAAAGTGGGAGTTATCCTAAGTGAAATGGGCGAGCAGGAGGACGCATATGCTCATGCTCTTGATGACTCTCGTGCCGAACTCAAGGCTATTCGAAACACCGAGAAGAGTGTGCAACCCAGCCGCGAAAACAAGGACAAGATTGCCGACGAGATCCAGAAGTTGAAGTTGAAGGAGCCTGGCAGCACAAGATTACCTGTCCTTGAGCAGGAATTGGTGAGGGCTGAGGCTGAGAACCTGGTGGCCGAGGCTCAATTGACCAACACCGTGAGTACATGCGACTAGCATCGCGTCATCAACTATTTGAGCAAGGCTGACCAATCATACAGACCCGACAAAAGCTCAAGGATGCCTATGTTGCCGAGTTCGCGGCAACCATCGAGCGTGCCGAAAAGCAGATCATCCTAGCCAAACATGGCCGCCGTCTGTTGGAGCTTCTCGACGTTTCGCCTGTGGTCCCTGGCGATACACGAGAGCCTTATCAACACTCCTCCCAGGCACGCCAAATCCTTAACGATGCTGAGGATGATCTGCGAGACTGGCGACCCGAGGCCGAGGGCTTTTCTACTCCAGTCCAAAGCCGATCGCCAACCCTCGAGGGAAAGGGAAAGGAGCCTCTGGCCTCGGGAGACAATTTGTCTCCTGTTCAGTCTGAGGCAGCTACAGTTGAATCCGACACTTCTCCTTTGGAGCAACGGGGTACCAAGTCCTCTGTCTATGCTGAGGTCGCTGGCTAATTAAGTTGGCAATTGCAGTATAGTGAATAAGGGCGCCGATTCTGGTATGGGATTTTGTTTCGATCATTTTCGTTCTCTTGAGCAAGCGAGAAGTTCACTTGCTGTCATCGCAGTCTGTCTGGGCGTCGTTGAGGGACCAGTTCCTAGGTATAATAAGTCTGGGGTAACGAGAGGGTTTTTTGAAGTGCTGTTTGTTTATATCCTTTGATTATTATTATTGATTAGTTAGTCTCGTTAGTTGAATCAGAATAGGCGTGCCTATCAAAAGTTTAAATGGTGTCATGTTGAGGTTCGTAGTGTATGTTGCACCTTGGGTGTAAGAACGACGACCATGAACCGGCTCGTGGCGAAAACTACAGGCTCAGGCTCATGTTCAATTCATTGGTGAATCACTCAGCACCAATCGATATGAGGTGATCAGTATCGTGGGTCCTGGTGCATTGTTTGGGGCTCTGGCTTTTCAAACGGTGTGGATGGATGGGTCTGCATCTTTGTGTTGCACCTTATAATAAGACGGTTCCTGTTCCGGTTACGGAGATGGAAGAATTTTCATGAAAGGTTTGATTGCAGGGCAGAAGGAAATAATCAATCGTGTTCGCCGTAAATATTCTGGATTGACTACAAGAGGGGGGAGCATAAGAAGGGCCTTGAGCCTAGACATTACTTCAGTCCGTTTAGCTGCAGGTGTAATGAAATAGGTTCATCGGGTCATGACTTGTCTCCGGGCTGTCGGCCGTGTAGTGTGGATATGGCACGGCATGGCGATCAGGATCAAATTAGCACAACTGAGACCCATCATGATATCCAGAACCAGTTAGCTTCTGGTCCATATCAACCGTCCGAAAAACCAACTCCCGTGCCCGCGAAAAGACGACCTCGGTTTCTCTCGAAGCCCTGCGCTACAGCCGACGACCGCGGTGTAAGGCCTAGGCATAAGGTTTCTTCCCACCGTATACTCTTGATATAACCTCCCGATCCCTTTCCTCTCTCCCTTTTGCACCCTTCTCCCCGGGGCTGCTCCACTTCAAGCCGCCCCCTAAAGATCAGCTTAGTATTGATGTTACAGCCGCAAAGTTCCCGGCTTCTGCTGCTCCAGAGGTCGTTGCGCACTACAGTCACAGGCACCGCAGCCACTGGGACACTGCTGTACAGTCCCTCCGCAGCGCCGTCGCTGTCGCCATACCGAGTACCTGGCCGGGCCAATTACATGGCATCGCTGGCAGCACGTAGCCCTGCCGCTGCCGCTGCAGGCCCCGGCGGGAGCCATAGTGTCGTTACCAGTGGTGCCCCGCCCCCTCCATCCTCTTCTTATTCTCACTCTGCTGCTACGTCAACCTCCAAAATTTCTTCCCGTCGAACAGCTCAGATTGCTCGACACTTTTCCTCCTCATCCTCACCAACAGGTCCCGTTTCAAAGCAGAAGCCCGACATGGCCTCCAACTACACCGTCCGCAAGGTTGCGGCTCCCAACACCCTCGAGCACCGAGTCTACATCGAGAAGGATGGCCAGCCCGTTTCTCCTTTCCATGATATTCCTCTCTATGCCAATCAGGAGCAGACCATCCTGAACATGGTTGTCGAGATTCCTCGATGGACCAATGCCAAGCTCGAGGTATGTTCTGATCAACATCAATTGCTGTCTTGTTACCTCCTCGGCACGCTTTGCTTTATTTACAGTTGTCGTGTGCTATATTACCCCTCCCTCCTCCTCCTCCTCCTCCTCCTTGCGCAATCGTTGCCCAGACCGACAAACGCAAGACATGAATACTGACAAAGCCCTCACTCTAGATCTCCAAGGAGGAGCTCCTCAACCCCATCAAGCAGGATATCAAGAAGGGCAAGCTTCGATACGTCCGAAACTGCTTCCCCCACAAGGGTTACCTCTGGAACTACGGTGCCTTCCCCCAGGTATGCTCATTATTTACCCCAATCTGACGTGGTCATCCCTAACTCGATCACCAGACTTGGGAGGATCCCAACTCCGTTCACCCTGAGACCAAGGCTAAGGGTGACAACGACCCTCTCGATGTCTGCGAGATCGGTGAGCTCGTTGGTTACTCTGGCCAGGTTAAGCAGGTCAAGGTCCTCGGTGTCATGGCTCTCCTCGATGAGGAGGAGACTGACTGGAAGGTCATCGTCATTGATATCAACGACCCTCTCGCCTCCAAGCTGAACGACGTCGAGGATGTCGAGCGACACCTTCCCGGTCTCCTCCGTGCCACCAACGAGTGGTTCCGTATCTACAAGATTCCCGATGGCAAGCCCGAGAACCAGTTTGCTTTCACTGGCGAGTGCAAGAACAAGAGGTGAGTTCTCAAACTCCGGCTCAGTGAGCCCAAGACTGACAATTTTAAGCTACGCCCTCGACGTCGTCCGCGAGTGTGCTGAGGCCTGGGAGCGTCTCATCACTGGCAAGACCCATGCCGGCGGTGTCTCCACGTAAGTCTCTAAGCTGTCTTCCTAACACAGTTGATATTAATGTTTGTATAGCACCAACGTCACTGTCCAGAACTCTCCTTCTCGCGTCTCTCCTGACCAGCTCCCCCCTCTGCCTCCCAACGAGGATGTCCCCGCCGAGAAGATCGATGCTTCCATCGACAAGTGGTTCTTCATCAGCGGTGCCTCTGCTTAAGTGTTCATAGACCAACCATCTTGCATAAAAAGAAGAAGTATGGCAGACATGTAGTCTTCACAAAAGTTGAGCACGGAGATACTCAAGAACAATATATAAAAATGATGCCAATTGTCGTAATAGTATACAAGACCCCAACCCCTGCTATGCCATACTGGGGTTCGTATATGTACATGGTTCGTTTCCTAAACGCCGTTTTTGCAGAGTGATAAAGTGTAGCGATGTTTTCACATATTTTAATCTGTCAAGTCGGCTGCCTTCTGCAGTTGACGCGAATGTCGGTCTACTTCCTCCACTAGTCCTTTGATATTGATCTTTTGGCAGTCGAAGTTGAGCTCCTTGCCATCCTCTGCATCTCGTTAGCCATTGGATCCCCTGGGTACAGCTATTAGCCTTCTAGTGTTACGTACTAAATTTCACTCGCAGGGAGCTGGGCTCTTTTGAAGTTCGGGGTAGGATGGTCGATGTGATTGTTGTTCCATTCGCTCGGGCATTCGGAGGCAGAAATGTGAGAAACAGACGAGCTGGCTTTGCACAGGCCGAGAACGGGTTGAATTTGGCCGAAACCTCAGTCATAAACTTTGTGATCATCTTGGCGGCGAGGAAAGGCGAAGGTCGTGAAATACTCAAGAGCAATTGGCTTTGGCAAGGGAGTCGAACGTGGTCGTTAACACACTCAAGAGCTATAGGCGGGTAGTTTGGTGATGCTGAAATTTCGAGGTTCGATAACGTCTCGGTACATGCATATCACCCTAAAGGGGCGGCACCCAGCTAACCGCAACGTCATGATAATGACGGACCACGTTTCGAGATCGACTTGCACAGCAGCACATACCTAACAGTTCTTCACCAGCATAATATCGCAAGCTCAACAAGCTGGAAATGTCCTTCGAAGGTCTACAGGAGCGTTTGACGGCTCTGCAAGAGACGACAACACAGCTCAAAGAGCTTATCGATCGACTCGCAACACTCAAATTCCAACCTGGCTCCGTGCCTCTGACCACCGACGAGGAGAGCAGCGAGAGCGGCGAACTCAGCGCTGAAATTACGAGCACTCTGCGGGATGGAGAAGAGGAGCAAGAGCTTTTGCAGGAAGAAGTGGAGTTTCTGCGTGGTGCAGAGCATGACAAAGACCGACTGAAAGAGAGTGTCGAAAAGATTGGAAAGGAGCTTGCAAGGTATAGTCTGCACTTGAGAGGGAAATGATATTTATGTCTAAACATACTCTAGCTGCCGTCTCTCTTTTCGAAAAGCACGACTGTCGGCAAAGCATAGCCTCGCGCAGGCACAAAGACGAGAGCGCGAGATCCTCCTTACATCATTTTCACAGCCTACCTCCGAGACCAACTCTCTTTACCCTGACGACGAAAAGACTGCTCGTCCTACACGCCATCAGCAGAATGTTCAGAAGCAGCAATCGAGCCTCACTGAAGAGGATCAACAGAACGTTGGTGCGAGTGCTAATGTGACCAACGCCCTACGACGAACACATGATTTGATCCAGGCGGAGTTGGCTCGCAGCGAGTTCGCGCATGAGACTCTGACGGAATCTTCTGCTGCTTTGAAGCAACTGAACGAGTCGTATGGCTCTCTGGACACAATGCTGGCGAGCTCCAAGGACTTGTTAGGCACATTGCTGCGCTCGCAGAAAAGCGATACGTGGTACCTTCAGACGACATTTTACATGCTAGCTTGTACACTCGGTTGGCTGTTGTTCAGAAGACTGCTGTATGGGCCGATGTGGTGGATTGTTTGGCTACCGCTGAGGTTGATGTTTGGATTGGGAACGTCAGCAGGCAGTGCGGTAATGCACGCGGGTTCTGGGCAGGGCCAGGTGAAGAAGGCTGGACAACCGAGCAAAGGAGTTCCGGTGGAGGGCCTGCCGGATGACGAATTGCCTACCGTCAAGGTTGACACTGAGCAGCAGGCCGAAGTTTTTGAGGAGGTGGATAAGATTTTGAACGTTGTGAGAGAGGCAGATGAGCTGGGGAATATCCCAGGGGGTGATGAAGACAATATCGGTAATCCCAAGAAGAGGATGTGGGAGGAGCCTGATGTTGTTGAGCAGCAACGCCCTAGAGATGAGTTATGAGTTGTATAATTATTAATTTTATAGCAACAACGTCCCGAATATGTTGAGCATTATTTATAACTTTGAAGCAAGTCTTGTCAGCATCATGTTCGAAATTCATGAATCCGCAGGCTGAACTTGAACTGTAAGTTGATTTTGGAAGATATGATGCCAATCAAAAATAAAAATAAACCCCTCTCCAATAGAATGATCCGCGATGGTGGCATGCTCTATTCTTCGAAAGAGATTTTTCGTCCCTTGGTCATTGTCATGTTATCGGCCACATTCATCCATCTATCGACTACCCTTGAATTTTCTTTGAGCCATCATCTCACATAACGCCGTGCCTCGTTTGGCTTCCAGGCCAACTACCCGGTAAGCAATCCCGTTCGTCAACAGCACGAACTAAGGTGCCGGGATTTGTAGTCACACTCTTACTGCTTCTCCGACTTATGTTCGCTGGGGAGCAATCTGCTCGACTTCGCTGATCCAAGGAAGGCCGAGCTTCTTCATCTCAACGGCAAGCTGGAACAGGTAATCGAGACTACGTCGTATCAGCATAATCATTCGCAGACCACGAGTAAGCTTGTTGTATCATCCTTACCTCTCACATTGAGTCTTGGCCTTATGAACGTTATCACCCCAGACGTAGACACCGTGACGACGGACGAGAACAGCGTATGTGTCGGGATACTTATCCATCGCTTCTTCTAGATACTCGGTCAAGTCCTCCTCATGAGGAGTGTTCTCGATGACAGGGATGCGAAGGGTGTCATGATAGCCCAGGTTGCCTGTCTTGTTCATGCCACGGCCAAAGCCCTTGATCTGCTCAATGTTGTTGATCTCGAAAACCCGGTCCTTTCCGGGGCCTTGGGATTCTAACAGGAGGGTGACAAGAACAGCCCATTGAGAGTGAGTGTGTATACAACAGCCAGCTCCTCGGCGGGTGAAAGCAGCAAGGAACAAGGGAGTGCACTGAGAAGGCTTGTAGCAGGGAGGAGATCGCAGATAAGTGCGCTGGTTGAGCTTGTTGTGGTTAGGATCTTGCTCAGAAAGAGCCATGACATAGATATCGGTGTTCTTCATGAGTTCTTTTTGAACGCCTGAGGGTGCGATGTATACGAGATCACTGCGATCATGGTGTAAGTAAAGAGAAACGTTTGCTCCTTATTTAGATAGCAAATGCCCAAGAGAAGTTTCAGACGATTTCCCATTCACTTGAAGAGGGTATACACTGGTATCATGAGTCTTGTAATAAATAAATTCGCCTTCTCCAACTCATCATGGCGGGGTCGCGGGGTAAAAAAATGATGAAAATTCATAAAACGAGCAAGTTAAACATTAACATACTCATCTCGAATAGAGCAACCGCCTCCTGTTCCCGTAACCCAGCCCAGGGTCCAGAACTTTGCGCATAGCGAAGGGATCAGGTTTGCAGGGTGGTTTGGGTCCTCGGAAGTAATGAGGGCATCGCCAGTTGGGCGCTGCTCAGTTGACATTTTGTATTTGGGGGAAGATCTAGAGAAACGGAGCGTGCTTTGAATTGTGTCTTTGCAGAGGGTTTCTGATCCGGAATGCAGCGGCCCGGGAAGACAGAGACCCAGAGATCCAGTTGAGTGTTGAGGTTTGGGAAATGAGATATTAGCAGCACGGCCAGCGTAGTGCAGCTGAAGCTGATGTTGGTGGTGGATAGTTTCTTGTCTACCTAATGTTAGGCCAAAGCCGCACCTGTCTACCTCCCTAGGCTGTGGTTTCAGAGCCTCTGAGTGGCTGAGGAAGATAGATTGGGGTGCTCTGTGCTCTGTGCTCTGTGCTGTCGAAATGATCCATCCCGTCCGTGATCAGAGAGTATCTCTTGTGAGAACTACCTACTGTACGCTAGCCAATTACCAACCACAAGGCATTCTCTACGTCCAAGGCCATTCTGCGGAGAAGCAGGTCGTGGCTGATGAGCGCAATGGCTCAAACAATCAGAAACAATGGCTCGGGAACGTTGGGCGGTTACTAGTCTTGAGTGGGCAGGCCGTATTTCTCCTGGTCCACGGCTCTGCAAAATCTACACCAACCCAATTCTCTTTCTCGAGAATCTTTGCCATGTGATGGAATCTTGTTTTGTCCGGAGTATTCTACATATCTTGTATCCCCGATTCTAGGCAATGCGTGCAACCTCAGTTTTCCAAGGGCATTGATTGGCCTCAGTCTGATCTGAGGTTGTATTGCGTCGATGGTGGCAAGCGAGTGAGCTATGAATAGGAACGGAGACGGAACGGCCGAGAATGGACCAAAAGACACGGAGCACAGCTGATGATGGGGTTTCTCTTCTATCAAGATTCATCGCCGCAAGTTTGAACTGGGCCAGATAACCATCTGTTGCAACGCATATGGGTATGGTACACATCTTTGCATGAAGTCAAGGGTTCATGTTATCTGAATGACTCGGAGTTTTGAATATGTGAAAACTAATAGCCCTGGCATCAGATGGAGAATCTTGCCGGATTGAAGACGAATGGACGAATGCCTTGGAACAGACCTGGCCTGTGTTTTAACATTTTCAAGGATGGCGCCTCAATCACAAGCCTTTACAAGTTTACAGGTGGGTAATAATACTCGTTTAATGAGTGCGAGAATCCATCAACAGGCTCTGAGCATCATGTCTTGTCTTAAGATGTTGACCCTTGTCCCTGCTTATATGTAATAAATGGCCTTTTTCAGCTCTCAGCGCCGGTGCCGGGACGCCAACAACCTTGTCCTGGTAGAGCTGCACTGTTAGACTGTACGGATAGCAGTAGCAGTATCACAGGTGCCCCTAATAACAAAGTGGCATATGGGGGAACGGGGAGCACCGCCGGGGCTTTTTCTCTGGGCTACCTCGTATTCATGGATTATTAGGATGTAATAGGTCGAGCCGACGGCTTTTGCAGGTGACAACGCGGCATAGAGCATCCGTTGGAAGTCCCAGGCGCCGTTTGCTCATCCCTCTGAGGGAAGAGGAGAGTTTTGAGTTTGTTGAGTTCTTGAGTTCTTGAGCATTGTAGTCCATATTGACCTAGTGATAGTGCATTGAGATGACGCTCGTGTTAGCCAAACAAAGTGTTTTACTACGGATACATGTACGCCAATGAAAACGAGGCCGTTTTAATTACTCTGGCCAAGCCCTCCAAGGCGGCCTCGACTCCCTGAGTCGGCCGGTATGGTGCTAACTTATGTACAGTAGCAGACCATGGCTTTTCCAGACTGTCCTCTATTTACTCATTCATACTGTGAAGAAGAAGAAGAAGGAGAAGAAGAAGAAAAACAAATCCTCAAGTGTGTTGTTGTTTACATTGTATTGGCTGGATTGCAAACTCACTGGCTCAGTCCCGCTGATGGTTTACAGAGTCTCGTCTCGGACACACTTCCGCCCACCCCTTGTCCCAAAACGGAGGCCCGGTCTATTATTGTCTAGCCCCAAGGGTCACCCCCCTGAGACAACCTCGAACCCAATGGATTTGGAGAGATCCGATGCTAGTGCAGTGACCTAGGCGCGCTGAGAAGAACAGCCGTGTCCCGTCACCTTTTGGAGGTGCAAATCAGGGGGGCTCATCACTCATCAGTGGTGGTGGAAAGCAGAAAACACCACCACATGTAAGAAAGGGCAGCAGATGGTGGTCATGTCGCCAGGCAACACGAGCTGTTGGAGGCGAAGCTCCCCATGATGGATGGATGGACGAGCAAGTGGAGGATCGATCCTCCATCCATCCATCCAATATGTGTGGGTCGCTTGTGTTTTTCGTCTCCCAACGTCTTTTTCCATCCATCATAAGTTTTGTTAGTCACGGTCGAGAGGAGTCCACTTGGCCATCTTCAATCATCTGAGCCGAAAAAGAATCGCTTAAACGAAGGGAGAGATGCAAGATCTGCGCTGAGCCGGAATTACAGGAACATCCCCCAGCTCAACTGGCAAATAATTAGCCGTTTCTTCCCCTGGTCAACGCAGGACAGGGACGGCAAATTAGTGGCAGTCTCTTGGATCATGGCTAGGCATGGCTTGCAAATTTAAAATTGATGTCGGCGGGCTTCCCCAGACCAGAAAGTAAACGAACATCGATCGACATCACATCACATCAGTCGTTCTACGGAGTACGGAGCAGGTATCGGTATGTACTCTCTCTCCTCAGGCTCCTCTTCTTCGCTCGCTACAGTCCGACCCGACTGCAACTCACTCTAATTTTGTGCTTGTGCCTGTGCTTCTGCTTGTGCTTGTCCCTTCTTTGTTGTCTTCCCACTGCATGTACTGACTGTACTGTGTCACAACGTGGACGTGGACTTGTGTGAGGGGGTTTGCGTGGCATACCCAAAACTCCTCTCATCTTTTTTTTTTCCTACTGTGTTATTTCGATACTAACGGGACCCCGAATGTGCATCATGCATACATACTCTGTGCCTAATAAAGGTATGGCCGACAGCAATACCTACATAGCATCCCCGAGAAGGTGATGGATACTTCGTTTCTCTCTCCTCCCAGTCTCTTGCACTTCCTGATCAGACAAAATGGATCCTCAATGGCTCCAATCCTAATCCTGGCGCCATCATGGGTCCTCTCTTCCCTCACCCCATGTCCATGCTCCTCCATGTCCCACCTCGAGCCATTGACAAGCAAAATGTGAAGGTCCTGATGGGTCCCCTATCTCCCGATGAGCCGGGGGCTAGCTTGGCGCCCTTTGCCTGCACCTCAGGTCAGTCTTGTTGACTTGTGCCTGCGCCTGGGCTCTGTGAGCCTGTGACTTTCACGGCTTCCCCTAGCCTGGCCTGAGGGGGGGGTCTGAGACTTTGCTTTGCCTTGTCTAGGTAGGCTTGCTTGGGCCTAACCGGTGATGGTTTGCCCATTGGCTTGATGGTGTGGATGCCCCTTTGCAAACCGTCCACGTCCAGTTGAAGACTCGACTCATAAAAGGTCCTGGCTGCCCCGTCGCGTGCTCTTGATTCCCTTCCTCCTCACCCTCGTTGTCATCCGTCCGTCGTTCGTTAAGACAAGAATTCCACTTCAGACTTTCGCTTTGAGATTCATCTCGATTACTTTAAACTACTAATTCTAATATCAACAACCTCGACATCCATCAACATGCGTTTCACTTCCATCTTCGTTGCCGGCGCTTTCGCCACCATGGCCGCTGCCCAGAGCAAGACTGCTTCTGTCTCTCCCGCCCAACAGTCTCAGCTTGACTGCCTTGACGCCTGTGATGCTGGTGATGTCAAGTGCCAGTCTTACTGCATCACTGTGAGTCCGATGCTTCACCATGTGGACAAACACGGGTCTAACCATGAGTTGCTAGGTCCCCTCTCCCGATGAGAAGAACATCAACGCCACCACCGAGTGTGTTGCCGCCTGCCCCAAGGGCAAGGGCTCTGCCTCCGACACCGAGAAGTACTCCGTCTGTCTCCAGGACTGTATCGCCGACAACTACTGGAAGACCATCTCCGGCACTCCCCGTGAGACCGCCGCTGCTGGCTCCAAGGACGAGGCCTCCTCCGCTGCTGGTTCTGCTGCTTCCAAGGCCACCGGCACTGCCTCCGATGAGGACAGCACCGCCACCGCTTCTGCCTCTGAGTCTGATGCCACCGCTACCGACGCCTCTGAGACCGCCTCTGGATCTGCCTCCGGCACTGCTTCCGGCTCCGCTGCTTCGTCTACCGAGACTGGCAATGCTGCCACCGCTCTCGTTGGCGGTGTCTCTCTCCTCGGTCTCGTTGCCGCTGTCTTCGCTCTGTAAATTGGATTGCCTCTTTTGGACATCTGGTTGATAGAATGGAAGGATTTTAATGGGTTTGCTCTAGAGCGGTAATGATTGGAGTTTGATTTCAGATGTGATACATGTTGGGCATCATGACGAAGGCCTCTTTGGGCCGTATCGACTTTTCATGGACAAATTATTGGGACACCTTACGCGTTCACATACGGCTCGACACGAGCATCAATACAATACCTCTTTTTTTGCGCTCTGCGTAACCTCAGCTTGATGTGCATTTTTCAGTTGGCTTGAAGTCAGAACAGAACAAAACACAACACGACCACTAAGGTTGTGGTGGTTGTGGGGTGAAGTCCTGTGATTGGCTGCTGTTTCCCAATCGGGTGCTCGAGGTGTTAGCTTGTAAACAAGCGAAATGATTGTCTCACTAGGAAATGCTCGAGTCCAATTTAATCGTGTTTTTATCATGCTTTTTTTTTTTTTTTTCGAAACTAAGATAATTCGTATTTCGAAGGCACCTATTCGAGTGTTTACTATGTATTTGCATACTGAGCAATTTTCCTGTGTCGGTGATGCTTGTATAGATACGTCATGACAGAACAATCGGCTTCAATTATGGTTTGATTGCAGTAATACCCTTGACGCCACAGTGTTCCATGTGTGCTTGATCTTGTTGCTATCTTGTCAGGTCTAGGCACTAGGCAGTTGGCTGCTAGAAGCCGAATCCTTTCAGGCCTCTGCTCCGTGTCAATCCAGTCTAGAGATTAACATAGGGTAGCTGTTAAACTACCCTTGGACGGATTTCTTACCACTGGCTGATGTCACTTATGATTAAGGTATTAGTGCGGAGAAAGGACAATATTTATTGATAGATTCAAAGTTCATGGCTCACATCTTTTGCGTTGATCAATCTCAAGACTAACAGACCGCTAGAGACATCTCCTTGTTTTGTTCAGAAGCGTAAGGTACTAAAGACTCCGACTTTTGCTGTTTGTCGAACAGTTGTTCCTACACTTATACCGAAGCCCAAAGAACAATCCAACAATGGCTCTGTGCGTCCTTGTAAACACTATCATGCCTCTTGGACTTAATCAGCCAATTATTTTATTATGATTTAAAGTTGAGACGTATTACGCTTGTGAAATTAACCATTCACCCGCCAATTGTTCCATGGACACCTGTCTTCTTCTCGAGCCTTCTGTGGAACATGACCTATTCTGTAACTACAAGGCCGAGGCTGTGAGGCTTTCGTTGACTTCCCCGCCCCCCCAGTTCCATGGGGGTACCTGACAGTCGGCATCTGCACCTTTCCTCCTTCCAAGCTTAGTGGCTCCGGGCCACGGCCCCCGCTCTGCACCTGTTCGTGATCCCTGAAATTTAGGCGGCTCTGGGCTTCTTCTTTCTACGTGTCCTCAACACTAACACAGAGCTCTCCACTCATTGTTAAGACGCCACCTTTCGCTTCTTCGCTCTCCCCATTCTACATTCCACCTCACTCTTGGACCTCTTATCTCCTCGAGCGCTGGGAATACCCTCATCAAGCATACACTCTTCCCTCAGTCATACGTCTTTTGTTTGATTGTGTTCCTGCTTCTCTTCTTGCGCAGCCTCTAGTGACGTCCTAAATTACCTGCTGAAGCTATTCCGTCACTTCCTGCATCATGAAGCTCAACGCTGTTGCAGCGGCCATGTCGGCTGCCATGCTTACGGGCAACGTCCACGCCGAGGACATCAAGGAGGCTTCCCCTTCTGTTCCCGACAAGCTCCCTACATTCACTGTGAGTTTTTATTATTATTAATACCCCCCTCTTCATTTCAATTAGTAATTGAGCTCATGTATGAGGGCTATGTATCTCCTCCTCATGAGCTCTTGACCCAGTCAATTGATGGCTAACCCATCCGTACAGCCGACCGTTGTCAAGGCCGACTTCCTCGAGCAGTTCACCGACGACTGGGACCAGCGATGGAAGCCCTCTCACGCGAAGAAGGACACATCTGGCTCCGAGGAGGAATGGGCTTATGTTGGCGAGTGGGCCGTTGAAGAGCCCGTACAGTACAAGGGCATCGAGGGCGATAAGGGTCTTGTTGTCAAGAACCCTGCGGCGCACCATGCTATTTCCGCCAAGTTCCCCAAGAAGATCGACAACAAGGACAACACCCTCGTTGTCCAGTATGAAGTGAAGTTGCAAAGTAAGCATGACTCTGGAATCCCACTCGGTGATCGCGCGCGCTGACATTTTTGCCTTCAGATGGCCTCGAGTGTGGTGGTGCTTACATGAAGCTCCTTCGCGATAACAAGGCTCTCCACCAGGAAGAGTTCGCAAACACAACCCCCTACGTGATCATGTTTGGTCCCGACAAGTGTGGCCACACCAACAAAGTCCACTTTATTTTCAACCACAAGAACCCCAAGACTGGCGAGTATGAGGAGAAGCATCTCGATTCTCCCCCCACCGCCAAGATTACAAAGACCACCGAGCTTTACACCTTGATCGTTCATCCCAACAATACGTACGTCATCAAGCAGAATAATGAGGAGGTCAAGACCGGCAGCCTCTTGGAGGACTTTACCCCCGCTGTCAACCCCCCGGCCGAGATTGATGATGCGAATGATAAGAAGCCTGAGGACTGGGTTGACCAAGCACGCATTCCCGACCCTGAGGCCAAGAAGCCTGAGGATTGGGACGAGGAAGCCCCCTACGAGATTGTCGACGAGGAAGCTGAGAAACCCGAGGACTGGCTCGAGAACGAGCCTGTCACCGTCCCCGACCCTGAGGCCGAGAAGCCAGATGACTGGGATGACGAGGAGGACGGCGACTGGATCGCCCCTACCGTCCCCAACCCCAAGTGTGCCGACGCCTCTGGTTGCGGCCCGTGGACTAAACCGATGAAGCGCAACCCCGACTACAAGGGCAAGTGGACTGCACCTTACATTGAGAACCCGGCATACAAGGGAACTTGGGCTCCCCGCAAGATCAAGAACCCCGACTACTTCGAGGATAAGACCCCTGCCAACTTTGAGCCCATGGGAGCCATTGGTTTCGAGATCTGGACTATGCAAAATGATATCCTCTTTGACAACATCTACATTGGCCATTCCATTGATGACGCCAACAAGCTCGCTGAGGAGACATTTGGTGTCAAGCACCCCATCGAGAAGGCCCTCTTTGATGCCGACAAGCCAAAGCAGGAGGATAAGCCCAAGTCCCCCAGCGACCTCAAGTTCCTTGACGACCCTGTTCATTACATCACCGAGAAGGTCGAGCTCTTCAAGGCTATTGCCGCCCAGGATCCCATCGAGGCCATCAAGTTCGTCCCCGAGGTTGCTGGAGCTTTTGTCGCCATCATCATTACTGCCGCTGGCCTCGTCGCTGTTCTGTTCAACCTTGGCAAGTCACCCGCTGTTCAGCAGACTGCCGAGAAGGCATCCGACAAGGCCAAGCAGGTCAAAGATAAGGCTGCTGAGGCCACCGCTACCGGCGCTGAGCAGGTCAAGGGCGCCGTAAACAAACGCACCACTCGCAGCCAGTCATAAGGAAAACGAGGTGATCTCAGATGGTTAGTTGTATCGGGTGGAGTGATATTCAAAAGCGGACGGAGAACCTGTGGAGCTAAGAAGAGAAGCAAGTTTGGAAGAAAATGTATGCAATTCTTACGATTGATTGATTTGGCGCACCAGAGCAGCGATAGGGATATCAAAACAATTGATAACTTTTCAGGCTGACCTCACCCTTGATCGGTTCATGGCTCGTCGTGGTGTTCCATGTGTCTAGACCACTCAAGAGGTACTATGAAGTATGGCGTTGGCATTCTTATCTCGGTTTGTTTGGTTTCGTATTTACAGTAGGTCAACTCGACAAGTCTTACAGGGTTTTTACCCTTTCACCGAAATCGGCGTGCATTCACAGATAAGGGTATCTAGTATCAGCCTAGATCGGAATTGAAAAGATGAACGCCCTCCATAAACATATATTTACGTTGGAGAATCATGGAAGGTGACCCCGACGTCCGATAGATATAGTTAAAGGAATCGAAGTGGCAGGTCACTTGAGAAGTTGAGATAGATTTGTTTCCCGATTAGGCAGGCGAAAGGAGACGAACAAACGGAGTGAGAGATGTAGTTTCTGGCCGGCAATCTCAGCCAGTAGGAGTCTTGAATTAGGAGACGAACCTCAGACCGTGGTATCCATCGGCATTGACGGTAACCAGCGGACAAGCCGGAGCTCACTCGGCAATTACCCCACACTATGTGATTTGGTAAAGTCGGACCGTACCCACTTTCCAGAAATTCCAGCCCAGCTCTTGGGGGAAGTTGCTAGCTTATCATGAGTTGCTCTTGCCGCCCCGCACTGACTCGCCTTTGGTGCTTGTAAGTGGTGACCTTCTCAGAGGGAAACGCCCCTCCAATTGCCTCCGCACCGTTGACATAGCCGGGACAGTTTCTCAGTATAAAAGTCTAGAGAACCCATGGCCTCTTGAATTCTGGCCTCTTTGTTGCTTCATTGGAAGTTGTCGAGGTCAATTGCTCTCGCTCTCGCTCTCCTAGCTCTTGTCTCTCTCACTTACACACAACGCATTTGAGCCTCATAGACTATACTGTCGTCTTCATCATCACCATCATGCGTCGCGCAATCTCTCGCGGCCTGGGTTCTTCCAGCCGATCTACTCCCGCCCTTTCTCGATCTTCTCTCCTCGCCTCATCTAACATCACAAGCGGTGTATCCCACGTCGCTGCCAGGCGCATTCATGCGACAAGCAAACAGCTTCAGCCTGTGACGGCTGCCCTGGCCTCAACCGCCAGCAGTTACCCTACCACTCACGCAAAGGTCGAGGCGGTCGATACTCCCTACTTCATCGACAACAAGTTTGTTTCGTCCTCGACCGATAAGTACATCGACTTGCACGATCCTGCTACCAACGAGCTCGTTACTCGCGTCCCTCAAATGACCGACGCTGAGATGAAGGCCGCTGTTGCAAGCGCCGAGAAGGCCTTTAAGTCATGGAAGAACACTACTGTCATCTCTCGACAGCAGATCATGTTCCGATTTGTCCAGCTTATTCGTGAGAACTGGGACCGCCTCGCTGCTAGTATTACTCTCGAGCAAGGCAAGACCTTTGCTGACGCCAAGGGTGATGTCCTTCGTGGCCTTCAAGTCGCTGAGGCTGCCATCGCCGCTCCGGAGCTTCTCAAGGGTGAGGTTCTTGAAGTCTCCAAGGACATGGAGACCCGAACCTACCGTGAGCCTCTGGGTGTCACCGCTGCTATCTGCCCCTTCAGTGAGTAACTGGCGAGTCGCTAGCATCGTTCTTCAGCTAATTGATGTGTAGACTTCCCTGCCATGATTCCCCTTTGGTGCATCCCTATTGCCACCATCACTGGAAACACCCTCATACTTAAGCCTTCTGAGCGTGACCCTGGCGCTGCCATGATCATTGCTGAGCTTGTCCAGAAGGCTGGCTTCCCCGAGGGTGTTGTCAACATCATTCACGGCGCCCACCGCACCGTCGACTTCATCCTCGATGAGCCCGCTATCAAAGCGATCAGCTTCGTTGGTGGTAACAAGGCCGGCGAGTACATCTTCAGCCGTGGTTCCGCCAATGGCAAGCGTGTTCAGGCCAACCTGGGCGCCAAGAACCACGCCGTCGTCTCTCCTGATGCCAACAAGAACCAGTTCATCAACTCCATTACTGGTGCCGCTTTCGGTGCTGCCGGTCAGCGCTGCATGGCTTTGAGCACTCTTGTTATGGTTGGCGAGACCAAGGAGTGGCTCAACGAGGTCGCCGAGCAAGCCAAGCATCTCAACGTCAATGGTGGCTTTGAGGAGGGCGCCGATCTCGGTCCCGTCATCTCCCCGCAGAGCAAGGAGCGTATCGAGAAGCTCATTGAGTCTGCCGAGAAGGAGGGCGCTACTATTCTTCTCGATGGCCGTGGCTACAAGCCCAGCAAGTACCCTAACGGTAACTGGGTTGGCCCTACCATCATCACAAATGTCACACCTGACATGACCTGTTACAAGGAGGAGGTCTTCGGCCCAGTCCTTGTCTGCCTCAACGCAGAGTCCATTGATGACGCTATCGACCTTGTTAACAAGAACGAGTATGGTAATGGTACTGCTATCTTCACCAGGTCTGGTGCTACTGCCGAGACCTTCCGCAAGAACATTGAGGCTGGTCAAGTGGGCATTAATGTCCCTATCCCTGTCCCTCTGCCCATGTTCTCTTTCACTGGTAACAAGAAGTCTATCGCTGGTGGTGGTGCCAGCACATTCTACGGAAAACCTGGTATCAACTTCTACACTCAGCTCAAGACTGTAACAGCTCTATGGCAGAGTGCTGATGCCGTTGCTAAAAAGGCTGATGTTTCCATGCCTACCCAACAATAATCAGGCAGCAACTCAGAGGGTGGATTTGATTTAAAAACAAAAGCGACCAAGCAAGAACGGATGATGGAAAACGGGATACTGATGTAGAATGCATATCTGCTAGCATAATAAGGACAATAATCAGGCAGTTGGGCTTAGCCGAGTGTCATGAATTTCAAAAACATTGGAAACTTCATTATGTTTTGCTATATGTGTCGTACTCATCTTGTGTTTTCTTTTGGTAGTTTTCACTATTCCACAAGTGAGATATATGTTCTTGGCAGTATCAAAATGTTTTTCAGTGTCAGATAGATGTAGAACAGTCATCGCACTCTGGCCCTATGAAGAGGCGTAGAATTGGAAGAACGACCAGTAGAGAGATGTGGTGTGAAGAAAAACAGCTGGTAAGAGAGGATCCCAGATGAACCAGTGTGATTTAGGGGCTTTAGAAACCAGCTCTAGATAGAGGCATCTGAGCACACTCTCTCATGTATTCAGAGCTGATAAGAAAGAGAACATGTGAAGGCGTACGCACGGCGGTAAACATGATTAGTAATAATAAACAAATGCAAGCTGATAAATAAAATAGATTCCGTGATATGAGTAGTGACTAACTACCAAATGTGTCGTAACATGAGCAAGATTACGCCCATCTGGCGATCGATCTTACTGTGGCGGTGGCCCTTTTCTACTGCCGACAATAACGTCTGTGTCTAAATATACCTTCCTGGTCCCTCCTCCTTCTGTGAGTGGTGATTGATCAGGCCGCGATGGCCTGCCTTGCTTAGTTCTTCTCAATGGTGATGCAGACCCATGCTGGGCACTGTAGGAGTTTGCATCAGGGATGATAGTATATTGTCAACAACTCCGTACTCCTGGATATAAGAATTCGAAAATGCCAATGTGCACGGGGATCTCTTATCCCCCAGATGGCTCTCGAAGAATTTCAGATAGAGTACGGGCGAGTCTAAGGGTTGCGTGGGCTTTGGCTGGTCCTCTAAATTAACTCATGATACCCCCCGAACTTACTGCGTTGGAATTTTCATGAATCCGTCATAATATTCATCGAGCCATCGAGCTGCCTGAACACCAGACTCATCAAGGCTTGAGTCCCAGCGACCTATCGAGCCGACATAACCATCGGGACGAACGTTAACGATCGCTACCTCGCCAGGTCCCAGGCTGCCAAGCCATTTGTTCGTGCACAAGGAGCCACGGGTGTCCTGATCGGGAATATCGTCGAGGTAGAAGGTCCAACGGCTATCCTGCAGAAGAGGTGGAAGATCTGAGATTTCGATTTCCGTCTTGGGCATGGTGGCTGATTGACTTGTTAGCAAGCGGTCTCCAGGTACAGGGTGCGAGGAAACTTACTGATAAGGCCAAAAGTGAAGAGGTGGCTGACAACGGTGTATCGCTCAGGTCGGGAATAAACATCCTCAGGAGCTGGTGCTCGAGGTTGGGAAGCATAAGAAGCGCTAGCAGCAGCAGATAGACGGCTAATAAAGGAGTCTGTACCTGCAATAGCATGGCAGAATGTCTGCAGAAACGGTGCTGACTGTTGAACATCCCACATAAGAAGGTAGATTCGGAACTGACCGAGCATAGGGATGTCAAGCTGGATATCCACAGGGTTGGAGTCGATATATCGAGTCACCTTGGCGGGAGGCAGAAGGCAACCTGGCTTGGCGTCTCCCATTACAAAATGGTTATTTCCAATTCCTGGCCTGTTGATAGCGTTCTCACCATATTCAGCACCAATTCCAGAAATGAAACGAACGTTGGTTCTGAAGTTCTCAGCGAGTGCAATAGCGTCGCCACCGGCAATTTGGTTCGCATGCTCATAGTCAAAGTTAACCAAGTCCAGGGCAATCTTGCGTCGTTCTTCCTCGTAACTCTCGAGAAGATTTGGCTTGGCCAAGCCTCGAACCGCAAGGTTCAACTTCCACGACAAATTCCATGAGTCGTGCATTGAGGTGTTCATACCCTGTGCTGACTTGGGAGAGTGGGTGTGGCTAGCATCACCAGCCAGAAATGCTCTCAAGTGGCCATCGGTGAAGCGACTAGCAACCCTCTGACCAACCTGATACCGGCCGAACCACTCAACGTACTTCCAGTCCAAGCGAAACGGTGCCATAATCTTCTTCGCGCGCTTCATCATGAACTCCTGACCCAGATCGCGGCGATCAAATTTGGCACCAGCCTTCAGCTCAATATAGAAACGAGTCATATTTCTCTCTCGAGGAATGATGAGAATTGAACCGTGCTCTTGTGAGTAGACGAGCGTCTTGGACCAAATATCGGGGAAGTCGGTAATCAGTTCGCCGTCGAGAACGCCCCAAATGGCAGCCTGAGACATGCCGACAGCCTTGACATCGGGGATACTCTTGCGAACCTTGGAGTGTGCGCCATCACCTAAGTAGTAATGTCAGTTTCTGAGCGTACAATAAGTGAGGGTTTGCGACTCACATCCAATCAGGTATTGAGTCAGAACCGAGCGCTTATCTTGATTGACATTGGCACGGCAGTTGACTTGAAGGGGACCAGTCTTGTTGTCGGGGACGCTGTACGATTCAAAAGCCATGTTTCGACGAACCTCCTTGCCACGCTTTTTCATATCCTCAAGAAACAGCCCTTCCACCATGCCTTGATGGACTAGAAGAATATAGGGGTCAAGAACATCGATAATAGGCGGATAATGGACTTCGCGACCAAGCCGACGAAGAGGTTCGTCCGCGGTGCTACGCCAGAATGCGATATCGAAGACACGAACACCTTGTTTTAGCAAAGTATCTGATAGTCGCATTTGTCGGAAGGTTTCGATCGTCTTTGGCTGAAGGCCATCGGCTCTATTGTCGAGGTCAATTGGGTTGCTTCTAGTGGTACAATTGAATGGTGGCGATATGCTTACCTTCCCACGGGCGTCTGATCGGCTCGATCATCGATTACCTCAACGTTGATGCCGAATCTGGTGAGGTTTGCGGCCAGCATTAGACCGGCAGGTCCTGCACCAACAACACATACTTGACATTCCAGCGGAGGCTCAGGAAGACTGCGAAGAAGAGCCAGAGGATCCTGAAAGGGAGGAGGAGAGCCTTCCTGGCGCTCGCGATGTGCTGGAAATGGGATTTCCATTTGATCCATGTCGTCAGATTGGACAATGCTAGGCACCATGTTACAGTGGAAGTCTTTGGAGGATCACAAGATCATGGACGACCTCTGTCGGTTCAGATTGTTGACAGAGTGTCGTCCGGCAGTAGTTGCGAGAGGTAAAGACGGCGGAGGCTTCTGAGTCCCGGTAGAAGATGCTGCGGATGATCAAAGCTGGCGACAAACGGCGAGGGGTGTGGAAAGCAAAGGATATTCGGTAAGGTGCTATTCTCCGAAGAAGTCCGTCCACTCAGTTATCGGGTGCTGTGTGTATCACACCCGGGGTGTTATGTGAGCTCCGCGATATCGTCCGATGAGAAGTGGTTGTCAAGATCGAAGTCGCAAAATTGAATATGTCGTAAGATGTCGAGGAGATGTCGAGGAGGTCGAGTAGTAGTATTAATTGGATATGTATGATAGAAGATATCGATCGGTAAGTGTATGGGGTTTTCGAGGTCGCGGGGCAGAATGGCCGAGTAACTATTGGGCAAGCTGAATCTGACTGACAAGCTACAACTGAGACGACAAGGGTTTGTGCAGATATGCAGGCTACGATGAGAATGGCGAACAAGGTGGATGAGACGGCCACAGCGATGGCAGGAACGAAGATACAGACGACGGACGACGGAGCACGAAGAGGGACACCGAGGTGAAGAGAGGATAAGAGAGGGGCTAAGTATGAAGCTATTCCGAGCCTCAAGGTCAGATATAGGAAATACAGCACCCACGAACGGGCAGGTACCGGATTTCGGGGGGGTTGATGGCAAGCGACGACCGGGGTGCTACGATGCCCTGGCCTACCTTACATGGATCAAAAAGAGAGACAGAGAATGGATGGGAAGGACCAGCCCAGGGTCGAGGGCAACAAGGGCAAGTGAGATGGGGTCACAATTGCCTGGAGCAGAAAAAATGGCATGACACGATTATCGACAGCAGGCGGAGGCAGGCGACGCCAGACCTGACGAGGAGACAAGAAATGGGCTGATTTCGCGGGAGATTTTGCTGGTTCGCTGCCACACGGTCCACTCAGACGACACGGTTGACACGGTTGACTGGGTCTAACTTCCAGGGCCCTTCCTCGAATGCTTCCGCCAAGCTCGTTCACTCTTTTTCGATGGGTCCTTGCTGTTGGAATGCAACTTGAAGGGATCCACATGCTGTCTCTGGACCAGTCCCCGCTTGACGATATAGCATGTGATTGGACGATAATTGATGAATTGAATGCTTTTGTTAACCCCCAAAACCAAAGCACCAGAAGTTTTGAAGGGAAAAGAAAAAAATAGACGAGACAGTCCGGTTGGCATCATCACTTTAATCAGATCCAAGCACAAACATTTATATCAAAGTGCAGATATCTCTGAAGCAAATAGTGACAAATCGACGGCAGAAAATAAACACCGCTAGAAGGAAGGTCTGGAAGGCTAGACCACGGACCAGGCCATGCACCAAGACCTAGACCAATCCTCTCAACACCACTATCTCCTCCTCCTTTGACAATGACACTTTGGGCCAAGACAAAAAAGACGTTGAACCCGTGGCACACGCTCGCACTGTTTCGTCAAAGAACCCACTTCTGCGGCTTCTAGTCTCCGATGAGAACGTGGTGTGTCTGGTCCCAGATTGTGTGTCTACTGCTCTGACAGCAGCAAGGATCATGCACTTGTTATGTACGTAGATGGACTTCTCGTACAATATTCAATCCGCATCTGCTAACCTGTTATACCCTTTTCAGCTTTGGTCCAGTGGTTTAGCTGCGGTCAGGACATGAACGATGGAGTATCAGTGTCTGACATCGCATGTTATTAAGTTCCTTTTGTCTCTTCTCCCATACGCCTGCAGGAACTCAGGGTCTTTGAGCCAGGATGAGGCCGTTCTCGGGCGGTGTCATTATCAAGCACGGCGAGTGGGTGCGATCCATTCATCTGACACCGGTTTCCCCGGCCTTTGTCTGAAGTTTTGTAAGGGCAATGACATATCTGGCTAAGTTCTGTAGGTTATCAGCTGAAGTTGTCTAAAGTCGGGGAATTGGAAAATGCAGCAAAGCCACACCGTAAGTTGTGTTATATATAGGAACCGTTTCATTGACTCAGATGGGATGGATCTGCTGGCAGTAACACACAGATTCAAACTGATACATGCAGGTCTTAGCCTAGGGCTTATGTACCTGATATCGTCCTGTGCAACAGAAGACGCAAGCATGATACTGAAAAGGGGACCAACTTAGCATGCAGATTCAACGCAACCTGCAAGTGTTGCAATTTTCTCAACACCGTTTGTTGGTTACTCAAACGGACAGCCACTTAGTTTTCACCACTTCTCAGATTCTCATAGTCTGCTATGTATTTCTCCTGTCCCAGGATGAACCCTGGGTACAGTCTGCAAAGACCCATGCCTTACATGTTACGCTGCCACATTTCAAGCAGTTGAGCTGACGATGGAGCCCTTCACCACGATATGCAGCGAACGATGATCATCTCATGATATACAATTGAGCAAGGTATCTGGCAGAACGGCCCCCCTTTTCACCTTGATTGCATATGCAAGCTGTCAAACTCATCACAAATATTGTATATGCATCAGCATCGAAGCTGATCCTTTTATGCAGTGCAGCGTAAGCGATGTCTCTCATCTCATCTTGTTTGTAGGTGCCTTGCCAGCTCACCCGTTGGGAGTCTTCCGCATTGGAGCCAACCCAAGTACTGGATGTCAATCTGTTGACTCATTTATCGTGTCATTATATCGGCCCATCATTCGAATTATGCCGCGCGTTGTATGCATCCTACCAGAGCGGCATGTCTGAGTGCTCTTAAATCAGTCAGTTGGCACCACCAACATGATATAACATCCGGGCTGGGACATCACCAACGCAATGGTACTCTATTACATGGATGACCTATAACGAACAGGCTGGTTCGGACTTAGGTATCTAGGCAGCCCGAGCTCCCGCGCACGCCCTTTATAATCGGGCCTTGGGTCTTGTCGTAGAGTGACACTTTGAATAGGCTCGAGAATGAGTTTATCAAGTGTCTCTGTTTGAAACTCATGGACCCTACCTCAGTAGACCGTATGGAAACTGTATTATTGCAAAAGACAAAGATTTACAATGTCTTTAATGCTCCAGTGTCCCATTTATCTGTCACCATATTCTTAGAATACGTTCCTTGACAGTAACAATTAATGATATCGCGACTGGGCGGGCGGTTCTGTGTTGCCTACCACAATTACCTAGTCCCATACAATGTGATAACGTACAAGCGGTGCAATATGGCAAAATAAAACAATAGCAACCACAACTCATCCGCAACATTCTAGCACCTTACAAGGCAGTCTTGATCAGGACACCAAAACCGTACTGGCGGTTGCATTACCCTCAGCTTCTTTCTCCTCAGCATTGTTCTCAATGGCTGTATCCACATCCTCAATGACTTGACGACCACTGAAGTTCTTCATATATGCCTCTGCCTTGGCTCTCACGGGAATTGCATACCAGTCCGGTTGCATGCGCAAAGCAGCCAGAATGGTTCCCGTGCCAGGAATCACAACATGCCCACTACGCCCTGTGAGAACCTGCCTAACCACTGCATCGGCCACCGACTCGGGTGCAAGTGGAGGCATCAAGAAGTCGGTGTTTTGGTAGTATCCTTTGAAAAGAGCAGTGTTGGTGGGACCTGGATGGACGATTACAGTCCTCACCTTGGGCGCATTATATCGGGTAGTCAACTCAGCGGTCAAGCCTTCGTGGAAAGCTAAAGCAGCTGCTTTTGAAGCACCATAGTCTACCAGGTTAGGAATTGTCAACCAGCTCGCATAGGATGTCAAGGTCACAACCATGCCGTGGTTTTTGGCGACCATATCAGGAACAAATGTCTTTGCTATCCAAAAGGGCGCAAAGGTGTTGACGTCAAAGGTGAAGCGGATATCGCTGGGCTGGGACTCCAAGATAGTCTTGCCCCTGACAACTCCAGCCACGCTGATAACGACGGTCGGATGTCCCACCTCAGCTCTAATCTTTTCGGCGACGGCCTCGACGTTTTCGGGCGATCGTAGGTCGCATTGAAAGTAGTGCACGTTGGCCGCTATTGGGTGTGAAGTCAGCCTCCTCTTCCTATTCTGAGCCTGAACTGGGGTCAGATATAAGAAGATAACATACAAACTTCGAAAGACATGGGCTGAACATCAAGAACGACAACTTTGACGCCCATCTCCTCAAATAGCTTCACGATTCGCCCTCCAATACCTCCCGCACCACCTGTCACGAGAACAACTTCGCGCTTCCAGTCATATTTGTCGTCAACCCAGTTGTTTCTGGTCTTATCGGACCACCATCCGCTGGCCCATCGTGCCAGAGCAACGTAGAATAGCGTTTTGAGGTGACCGGAGGCGCTAGGATGAAGAATGGATAGATCTTGACCCTTCTTGGTGAGGCGAGCGAATAGCACGAGTGGAAGTAGGAGAGCTGGGTTGAGAGCAGTCTGACGAATGAGTCGTAATACAACGTCAGCGCAAAAGCCTTCTCGCGGGATGAGTCCTTGATGGATCGGCATGATGGCGTTTGAGTCTGGTGTAAGTCAATATCTTGTGGTAAGATTACACCGAGATACGATTACTTTTCCAAATGGAAAACAAGCACTGCAACAAGCACTGCACAGGTCCAAGTGAGCAGCTCAAGTACCCGAACAACGCACTTTGCGCCCCAGATGCGCATAGGCATCTCTTATGGAGGGGGGATGGGCTTGATGCATGGTTCTCATGATGGAGCATGCAAACCGAGGTCCTTTTCCACGAACAGCTACCAACTCGCTGCTCGCTGCAGTAGTTAGCAGGGATGAGAAATCCGGGGTAATAGTCAAGGTGCTATTCGTCGGGGTTCTCGTAGCAGCTCCTACCGAACAACATCTTTGCTTCCGCCAAGCTGGGCTATCATGAGTTAGCCATTGTTTGTGGATTATTCCTCGGCATCATGGTGACCCCGCAATTCGATCGCCTTAAGCTATACTGAACGGGGATGATTCCTTAATTGGTATGGCAGATGAGGGTTAACATGGCGATTTGGTAACCTGCATTGGTTAGTGGGATTTGAAGATGTGCGACAATCCAAGACGAGCTGTTTCAACTCTCACGCCCAGACTTTGGGACTATGAGTTATTATGGCTCGAGAGCGTTTGAACGAAGAATGGATTACTGGAACAAGTTTGCTGGAATACGATACAACATATCAAAGAGCTTCCGCTTGTAAGTTGGGGGTATCAGAATGTTAGTTAAAAGGCTACCTAATCAAGATCTTTCAAAATTAAATCGTCATGAACAAGCTCACTAATCCAGCATATACCGCTACTTTCGAATCCAGGACAGATCCCTTCGAAGCCTCACCACTGGCTTCAAGTTCGGTCGAGTCACCTGGCGCAAACAAAACGCCCACTTTATTAGCTGCCTCTGCGTCGATTTCCTCCGGCGAGAGTATATCATTCGACAGCTCATCACAAGACGGCCGATCATCATCCTCAGGAATCGAGTTGGTGACATTGATTGGAACGTCGAAGATGGTGTAGTGGTCATCGCCGTTGAGCCTAAAGTTTTGCCGGATGGAAATCTAGGTATATCGTCAGAACATATTCTGATAAAGGGTAAGGGTGTAGAAGTAGGTATTGCTCACGTTGTAAACACCACGGTCACTATCTCCTTCAGGTTTTCCATCACCAACGAGGCAGTCAGGCCACACCCAGTTGATATGCTTGACCGTGCTGCCTGGTTCTTGGGCCATGATCTCCCCAAGACTTGCATTATTAGCGGTCGCCGTTCCATTGGAGATGGTCAGGTTGCGACCTGTCATGTAACTGTAGAGGAACATGTCGATACTGAAGATCTGGTTATCGTCATCTTCGTCATGCGGTGGCAACGGCAGCTTGCCGTTGGCGGTCACGTCTATAGCCACGTGCAACGTATCTTGTATCAACAATGTTAGTGAGGTGAAGCTATCGTCGACGGCGTAATGCCTGTCAACTTACCTCCTCCAAGCGGCGTGTTCGGTTGAGGGGCATCCAGCACCACAAAACCAGGTGTAAAGATCTGGCCATTGGAAATAGTAAAGTTCAGTCCCAGCGCGCGCCCAGCCAGGAGCAGCACGGCTGTCAGTTGTTGCTTTGCTGATAGCATTACCAGGTAATCAGTTACTATACAAGTCCTAGCAAAACTGAGGTGTGAGAAAATGTAACGGCAACAACAAATTCACCATCGCGAGAAGTACGGCACAGGAACCAAAATGACTACATCTTCTTTTTGAAACCGGAAATTGGGCTTGGCCGAGTATCCAATACAGCTGCAAAATCCTTGGGAGATGTTTGAGGACGGGGGCTTGGTCCTTGATAAAAGCAAGATTACAAGGGTATTTTACCGGTAAATGAGGCTAGGAACATAGATAGTAAGGATGAATGATTGTTTCTCAGCCTCTCATCTTGAACTGATGGCATTCCGAGTTCGGTTCTGGGACATGCTTGGTAATAAATAGCATTGATTCATGAATATCAGACTTACACTCATAGAATAATAATCGTTCAACCATTTGTAGTGTTGCAGTGCATTACGAGCAACAGCCATGTTTCAGAATCAACTGGACAGGGATTCAATGATTATTGAAATTTAAGATGCAGGGACCTAGCTACATAAGTACTGCTTCACCGTTTGAAGAAAAGAATTACAGCCCAAAGAATTAATAAATAAAAAATAATATAAATAATATAAATAATATAAAAAAGCGAAATAATTATACATTGTTGGCTTCTCAAGATGGAATTCCCGCCGTCACCAACTCGCAGCGGAATTACTTCCTTAAGTAGAGGGGCATTTACTGGCGGAACCCCCCGATAGCCAAGAGCTAAGAACCACCAACACCGCCTGCTCAGAGCAAAAGATCCTCTTGAGTTACCAAATTGGCGGCTGTGGAGCTCTTTTTCTTTTATCGTGACACAAGATATCTCACGATAGGGGAATCATTGGCTTCTAAAAGTGATCGCTGATAGTTGTGATCCGAGGCTCTTGCCATTGCCCAACTCTAACGCTAACTCAGGTTGTCAGGTCAGTTCCTCCAACCCCCTCCTCTCAGTGAAGGTGATCAGCTTCAACAACATCAAGTCTTGATTCAAACACGTCTTTTTTCTTTCTTTTTTTTTCCATCTTGAATCTCGGAGACTTCAGCCGCCCTTGCTCATTGGCGTATACTGTTGAATTCCACTCAGTACAGCATATCCAACATGCGGCTGTCAAGTCACGTCGCCCGGCACGGCTCCGTCTTTCGGCGCTGTTTCGGAGCCGCATCTCGGCCGGGCTGCTCTTATCCTCAACGCCGCCTCATGAGCTCCTCCTTGGCTGCTGTCAAGGACTTGCTCAAGATCTCGGACGAGATCACAGATGCTGTTGCCACCAACAAACCCATCGTTGCACTTGAGTCAACTATCTACACTCACGGGGCCCTGGGCAATGAACTCGCCCTCCAACATTCAGATCTTGTTCGCAGCAATGGGGGTATTCCCGCCATCATCGCCATTGTTGATGGCGTTCCTACTGTTGGAGCCACAGCATCTGACATCATTCGCATGATCGAGAGTGGAAACGCTGTCAAAGCATCCAGGAGAGATATTGCCTACCTTGCGGGAATGGTAAGTCAATTCAGGTGCTGCTTTTGGTCATGCCACGTGTGTGTAGCATTGTCTCCATAGTCAACATCTTTGATATGCATAGGCTACAGGGCTGACTGAGATTTGCTTCAGGGTTTGACAGGACAGAAGATTCACGGCGGCACCACCATCTCAGGAACTATGTTGCTCGCCAGGCTTGCAGGCATTCGAGTATTTGGTACTGGTGGCCTCGGCGGCGTTCACCGCGGAGGCCATGACTCAATGGACGTTTCTGCTGATCTCACTGAACTTGGCCGAACACGGGTAGCTGTCATCAGTAGCGGTTGCAAGGGTTTCCTTGATATCCCCAGGACACTGGAATTCCTCGAGACCCAGGGTGCCCATGTGTCGACCTTTGCAGACGGACGATCTGGAAAGATTGATTTCCCAGCTTTCTGGGCTCGTGATAGCGGCATCAAGAGTCCTTCTGTTGTTCACACTGAGAAGGAGGCAGCCGCTATCATTCTGGCCCAGGAGAAGCTTGGAATTGAGTCAGGCTTGCTCTTGGCCAACCCAATCCCGGAGGAATTTGGCGTTCCCGCGCCTGAGATGCAGGCTTACATCGAACAGGCTGTCAGGGAGGCAAATGAGAAGGGCTTCACTGGCAGCGCCAACACTCCGTATATCCTGGGCAGGCTCAAGGAGCTCACAGGAGAGAAGGCCGTTATCGCCAACAAGGCGCTGGTAACGTCCAACATCACCCGGGCCACCAACATCGCTGTCGAACTCTCAAAACTGTTGTCTTCTGGTTCAGGACCGGTCAAGACTTTGTAAGTGCAGCGATGAATGGTCTCGGACGTAAATCTAATCGTAGCTATAGTAATTCATATTCTGCCGCTCCATCTGCACCTGCATCTCCTGCTCCTACTGAGCCCAAGGTGCCAGAAGTAGCGTCTGACAGTAAGGTCGATATCCTTGTCGCTGGCTCTGTCGCTGTTGATCTGAGTTGTGACTATGCCCCAAAGTCGGGTGACGCTTCACCCGTCCTCCACACCTCGAATCCGTCTAGTATCAGCCAGTCAATCGGAGGTGTCGGCCACAATGTAGCTCTCGCTGCCCACTCTGTAAGCAAACATGCTCGAGTACGGCTCTGTAGCATGGTTGGTGATGACGTGTAAGCGTGTTCTCGTATCGAGACCTGACCCTTACTGACGTGCTGTAGTGCTGGCAAGACCATTCTTAATGGGCTCGAAGCCTCCGGCCTTGACACCACCTACATTCGACAACTAGGCCATGAATACCACGGCTCTAATAGAACGGCTCAGTACGTCGCTGTCAACGATGCAAACAAGAATCTAGTCATGGCTATGGCCGATATGGGCATCTTCACAAACCACTCTTTTCCCGAATATTGGAAGTCTGCCGTCCGGGGAACCAAGCCCAAGTGGTTGGTAGTGGATGGCAATTGGAGCGAGAAAGATATTCGAGCATGGCTCAAGGCTGGCCAAGACCAAGGCTGCAAGATTGCATTCGAGCCAGTATCGACAGCCAAGTCTATGAACCTTTTCTGTTCTCAGAGAGGGCATCCGAAACTTAGAGTCTTCCCTAGGTCCACGGTAGATATCGCTTCTCCCAACAGCTACGAGCTAGCAGCCATGTACTCTGCAGCTCGCGATAACGGCTACTTTGAGGCACCAGAGTGGTTCGACATCATCGATGCCTTTGGCATGCGAGGTGCCCGAGATCGGTTTGTTAAGATGACTTCAGCCGAGCTGACTGACGCTGGTGTTCCTGTTCAGTCCGTTCAACTACTTCCTTATATTCCGACTATTGTGACGAAACTTGGTCCTCAAGGTGTTCTCCTGACCACTATCCTCGCAAAGGATGATCCCCGGCTGAAAGATCCTGACTCCGAAGAGTACATCCTTGCTCGCTCGATGAGCGACCACCCCAGCGTTGGTGGACTCTACATGCGACTATTCTCTGCAGCTGAAAAGGTCCAGAACATTGTATCTGTTAACGGTGTTGGAGATACCTTCTTCGGCGTTTTAATCTCTGGGTTGGCTCAGGGTGGTAAAGTCGAAAACCTCATTGATGTTGCACAAGCCGGCTCATGTTTAACACTAAAGTCTCCTGAGTCGGTGAGTCCTGATCTACACAGACTCGAGAGTGTGTTGGCACAGGCAGCAGCAGAATAGTGGGAGAAGGACGATTGAATAGGCTAAAATAATTTTATTCTTTCTCCTCTTCTAGGTTTCCCTGCAATTCCCGACATCCTAAACTCCTCACATTTGCGTATACTTCCATTAAATCCTAATACCTACCTGCCTACTGGGTACGTGCCTACTTTGTACCTCGGTAGACTAGACACCGAATCCGTACTTATGGGGGCCTGTGAAGGCCGCTGTGAGTTCGCCAAGCTCATTGAGACTCATTCTTGAGTAATCTTTTCAGGGTCAACTTCTACGAATAGTCTTGCTTGTCTTATATGGATGCATCATCAGCCTCATTCAATCTCTGGTTTGATTGGTCACTACTCTGCTAGTGTTAGAATGAGAGAGCCAATCATAGAGAATCGCGTGCGCAAGGCTGCTCGGACCCTCTAAAAAAATTCCATGGCCTTAAACATTTCCAAACCAGAAACCGCAAAACTTACTCCAGTGAGCCCAAGGACAACAATGGCGCCACCACAAGACGAAGAGATGCTAGACCCCTCATCTTCCTCCTCCTCCTCCTCCTCGGAGAACGAGTCTCAGTTTGACTCAGAAGATGAGGTTCCTCAGAAGAAGCCAACCATTGCGCTCTACGATAAAGATTCGGACGAGGAAGAGTTGGAGCGACTTGTTCTAGGTAATAAGGCAGGCTTCCGAGCGCAATTGTTCAAAGACGATGGGATTTTTGATAGCAGCTGGGACGCGGAGGGTAAGGAACTGCAGCTTGTCGAGCAAGATCCTGGGCTGGAGGAAATCGACGACGCGGACCTGTTCATGTTCGACACGGGTGCTGGAGCAGGCGCTGCAGAGGTCACAAAGGCAGCAAAGCCCACCGATGGAAACGCTCCTGTATGGGAGGACAGCGACGACGATAGACTGGCCATTTCCCTGGCTGGAGCCACTCGCTTACGAAAGCTGCGCAAGACGGAGGCCGAGGATCTTGTGAGCGGAACTGAGTACAGCAGACGGTTGCGACAACAGTACCTCCGACTTAATCCCCTTCCAACGTGGGCGCGCGAGGCAGATGGGCGGCCTAGCAAGCGAAGGCGATCATCTGCTGCGTCTGACTCTTCAGCAGACAGCGATTCCGACTCTGAGATCTCTGCTCTGCCTCTTGAGAAGTTCCTTCGCGACGTCAACAGTCTAGCCGGGGCTGGATCGACCAAGAAGAGGCGCTTGCGACCCGAAGTCATTGACATCCAACGCACACGAGAGATTCCGGACAAGCACAAAGCCCCCGTCGCCAACCTTTCCTTCCACCCCGAATTCCCGGTCCTCCTCTCCTCCAGCACCGCTTCTGTTCTCTACCTCCACCACATCGCGCCAGCCGCTCATCCCACACCCAATCCTCAGTTGACTTCAGTACAAGTCAAGCAAGTTGATGTTCGAAGGGCCGAGTTCTTGTACCCTCAGGGCGACAAGGTGTTCTTCGCCGGCCGACGAAAATACTTCCACCACTGGGATCTCAAATCGGGAACGGTGCAAAAGACAACTCAGATCCTCGGTCACAGGCTCGAGCACAAGACTATGGAGCGATTTAAGCTCAGCCCGTGCGGTCGATACATGGCTATTGTTGCATCTACCAGAAAGGGAGGCGGTGTCATCAATGTGCTGAACACGACATCTATGCAGTGGATTTCGGCGGCCAGACTCGCTAGTCAGAATGGCATTGCAGACTTTGCTTGGTGGAGCACTGGGAACGGCATGACTATCCTTGGTCGAGATGGCCAGGTTGGTGAGTACAGCATGGAGAGTCGCTCATTCTTGGGAATATGGCATGATGAGGGTTGTGTTGGTGGTATTGTCCTCAGTCTTGGTGGTCATCAGGGTCCAGCTGTCCTGGGTGATGATCGATGGGTCGCTGTAGGTTCTAACAGCGGCATCACCAACATTTACGATCGGAACGAGCTTGTCGTACTCAAGCTGGAGGATGTATCTATTAAGGAGCGACCAACACCTAAAAGAGTCTTCGAGCAGCTTGTCACGCCCATTACACATATTGCTTTCTCGCCAGATGGACAGCTCATGGCTTTCGGAAGCCAACATAAGAAGGACGCTTTGCGCCTTGTGCATCTACCGACTTGCACCGTGTACCGTAACTGGCCTACGGAACAGACACCGCTTGGAAGAATTACTGCAGTCGCGTTTGGGAACCAGAGTGACTTGTTGGCGGTTGGTAATGACACAGGGAAGATTAGGCTCTGGGAGATAAGAAGTTAGATATTTAATGAACACAAAACGGCGCATGATTATCTGCAATCAATATCGTCTGTCACTCCATTGTTGATCTATCCAGTATCCAGTGTAATGTCTTGTGTCTGATCCTTCTCCAACATACAGACATTGGTCAGTTGAATATGTGCTTCAACAGCGTCCGAAGTGGGCTACCCTTGGGCAGCTGGTGTCGGGGGAAGAAAGCCTTCCTCTTGCGCGTCCAGACAATGAGTTCCTTTCTATTCTTGAAGAGCTTGACATCATCGGGCCTGTTCTCACACTGAAGGAACTGCTTGATGTTGACGTTGATGCTCTTGAGCGCCTGCAGTAAATCAGCATCTGGAAGTTATCGTGGGTATTTGAAAACTGACGTCTCGGCATTTGGTCTTGCTAGGGAGGTCATTCGGTAGACCTAGATCGACACAAAGTCGCTGAAAGTCTTGCAGGGTGCCTTTCTTGAAGTAATCGTTCCACTGATCCATGAGGGTCCCATGTTTGCTACTGGGCTCGGACGAGTTGGAGGGGGTAAGGACGATGACACCGGAGCCATCAACTAGATCACTTTCTGAATCTTCATCAAGCGATCGAGTCATGACTGAGATGGGAATATCGTGTTCAAGTTGAGTGAAGAGTGGTTATGCTGACTTGTTGGTGACTTCTGAGCCAGATCTTACGACAGAAGAGTATGCAGAATCGATATGTTTATGTTCTTGGGTTAACATATAAAGGCACCAGTGAGCTACGAAAGATTTCCATAACTGCAGGCTGCCGTCTGCTGTCTGCCCATGAGGCAGTTATCCGCAACAGGCGGCCTTCACATCTCCACCTTTCCTTGTTCACTTTCCTAACCAGCTTCTGTGTTTTATCTGATTTGAATAGGTAGACATTGAGAAGGAATGCCAAACGAAGCCACAGATGGCGTTTTCTAAACACAACCACAACATAAGGCGTTATATTATACACTACGTCTAGTAACACAATAGCCTTATCATCAAGGCAACAAGTCAACAAATGGTAAGATTGCTCACACATACATACATAGATATGAATCAATGCAAGCATTACAGTCTATTCGTCGAACTTTTTTGTTGGCACAGAGACAACAAACACTGGATCTAAGTTACTGTGCCAGCTCCATGTTTACGAGGATGTCTGGCGTCTATGTCATTTAGGCGTTTTATCTTCAGGGACAACATACTCGTATGTCAAGATATTCTTCATGCTCAAGAAAGCTCTGCCGCCACGGATGTTGTTACTATCATATACTCTAACAACACGTGAATCCTCAACAATAAGCAACAGCTGATCGGCTTCCATAGCTCAGTTGGTTAGAGCGTCGTACTAATACTTCAAACCGAGTATCCGGTAATGCGAAGGTCTCAGGTTCAAGCCCTGGTGGGAGCAAGTCTCCAGCGCCTATCAGCTATTATTTTTTGGCCGTTTGCAGTCTTGTATTTACAATTCTCTATGACTTGAGTCTTTTTGCTGTATATTTTGAGATTTCAATGGTGTTGCGGTTGCATTGCCTAAATAGGCAATTCGCACAAGAGCAGCTACGGAAGGAAGGAAGAAAGACCCTCAGGCTCGCAGCCAAGCAATTGAAGTGGCGTTCATGTCCAACGAACATGATGAGATTTCTTTAATAATTTGCACTTGCAAGGTGATCGGATCGTTGTAGGGTATGGCAGCCAAAGCTGATCTGAGATCACGGAGAAAATCGGGTGAAGGAAAGACAAGGATGAATGATAGTGTCATGATGCAAATGCAGTTTGCTTTTTTTGATGTAGAGGCTCTTCGACGAGTGAGCGTTTGCAATACTTGCGGTTGAATTGGGCGATGTTGGCCATGCGCTGTATGTAGTGGTACACATTGACATAAATGGCTATTCCGTTGTTAATTGGATGATGCTGGAAAGGCCTCGAAACGGGCCTCATTAGAGAGCGAGGCAACTCAAATAACCCGGGGTTGATACTGCAATGCACGCACTGCGCTATGCAATGCAGAGTAAGTACTGTGCATAAATGCCGCCGGGGAAGCCTGGCATGCGTGCGCAAGCGTGGTCTGACTTCGTGCTGGATGACAGCAGACCCAGAATCAATGGTGAACGGAATCCTGAGTGGCCAGATCGTGACGCAGAATTTCGGCAGAAGTCGCTCGCGCGATAGGCATTTGATAGCGAAGGCGAGCTGTGGGATACAAACTTCAGTCCAGTTGGGAAAACAGTTTATAGATAGATCTATGTCCGCGCGTATAGTATATCTCAGATTTACTTTGTACTTCGGGTATCAACGGCCTGTCGCAACTGAGCGATAACCTCAGAGGGGTCCTTGGCCCCAAAGACAGCACTGCCTGCAACAATGACGTTGGCACCAGCGTCGGCAGCCTCGTCGATTGTCTTGGGCCCAAGGCCACCGTCGACTTCGATATTGAGCTCGGGATACTTTTCTCGTAGGGCCTGGACCTTGGGTAATTCTGATGCCATGAACTTTTGGCCGCCAAATCCAGGGTATACGGTCATGACGAGGACCATCTGTAGCTATATGTCAACTTGGCATGCTTCATGGACTACATCAGTGAGGCTTACATCAGGCCTCTCCTTCTCGTCGCTGTTCTCTAGAATCTCCCACAACACATCGACAGAAGTGTCAGGCTTGATAGCAATTCCAGCTAGCAATCCCTGATCGTGAATATATCGGATGAGAGCCTTGGGGTTGGTCTTCTCGTCGGTCTGTTGCTCTGGGCTCTCAGCGGCACTGGAGAAGGCGGCCTCATAGTGGAAGCAGTAGAGGTTGCAGCCAGCTTTCTTGAACTCCTTGACCCATTTCTTGGGCTGGTATCCCGGTGTAAGCTACACGTTGTGTATTCGCATTCCGAAGGACAATTCCTACCTCTGCAATCATCATATGACAATCAAAGGTGCCACGGCCATGGGCCTCTGTGGGCTGATCGACGTGTCCTCGAATAGATGCAACGACAGGCGGACCGAAGGTAATGTTTGGAACAAAGTGGCCATCCCTACAATGTCAGCATAGTTCCCCTGGCTTTACTACTCGCGACCTACATGATATCAACATGAAGCCAGTCTGCGCCTTGCTCCATAGTACGGGCACAGTCATGGCCAAGCTGAGCAAAGTCAGCTGACAGAATTGAGGGAGCAATGATGGTCTTGGGAGCCATTGTTGGGAGTATACACGATCAAAGGAGGACCGTTCAAGAGTCGCGTATGATGGTGGAAAGAGAATTGGTCTGCAGTATCTTTTGGAACTCGTCAATGGTGGGGTTATTTACAAACCCGCAACTTCGATACGGTTCGTACATAACCTATAGGTACCTACCAAGCTACGCCTATAGGTTAGGTAGGTCGGTTCTCGGTTGTAGCGGCTGTGGAGCTTGACCTTGTAAGGCGGCATAGTCACGTGACTAACGTTCAGTATGTATCAGTATACGGATTGATTGTATACGCTTGTTTTGCCGTTTATTCAAAACAACTGGGCGACACAAAATGTGATTATTCCAGGTCTTTAGATCGGTCAATGAATCAATGAATCCATCTATGCATCTTCTTCTATTTCCGTCTTAGGTCCGCACCACTTATCACCTAAGGGGCGCCTTCCTTCTTAAGGTCTAGCGTGTCAAAGGTACATTGATCAGAGGTGCGAGGGGGGTTCTGCTGCATCGAACTAGTACGGTTGCCAAAGCTTGATGAGTGAAAATAATAATCGAGATATAGTTACTGAGATAGCAGCTTGGGACCGGGATGTTTCTTTAAATAGTGATATTAAGAGAAGGCTGTTGTATATGATTGGTGTTGATGATTGATGTTGATTGAAATCAGGAAGTCGCTCTTACAGGGTAGGCGATTTGTTCGAAACGTGCGAGATTCTTGGGGAAGTCCAGCGGCATCCAAACGTAGAACAGCCGCAGAGCCTATGTCTTTGACCAAGGCCCTTGGTGACCAAAGTCACCTATGATACAGACCCAGGTAGACAGACAGACAGACAGACAGACAGACAGGCTGCACGGCATGGATCGATGATTCTTTCATCCATAGATGCGCCTGCCACGCTCGTCAATGGCTGCTGAATGCAACCGATACTTTTCAAGGCGTTCATTCAGCTGGCTGATATTGACTGTGGCCACCTGAAGTGGAATGATGTGGTGTGCTGGGTCGGGGCTCCGAGTTGTGAGGCTTGAGCCGTGGTTGGTCAGTTTCCTCTTTGATACCCAGACTACCTAGGTACCTAGGTAGGTATGTACAACTCCCACAGGCGGGCTGTGGCCGAAACAGAGCAGACGCAGATGCCTAACGAGGATCGCGATGTCAAAAATAGGAAAACCAAGGGCGCATCAGTTGACCTCAATGTAACACACAGCCAATCACTCTGCCGAAATCAGAATAAGAAACTCTAAAACGGTTGACCTGGCTGGCTGAACCCGGAACTGCCTGACTACCTACCCGTCATATGTCCAGGCCTCATCTCATCCCATGGTAACTTGGAGGATTATTATGGAAACTCCCCCGTACTGTACTGTATAGCACGTCAGCTGTCAGTGATTGTCCAGAGCTGACTTTCAAGTTCATGTCGAATGCGCCTGTAACCGAGAGCAAGGATTCATCTTGGATGGATCCTACAAAACCTTCATTCCTTGCTTTTGTATGCCCAAAGCTGGCTGGATGCGCACATATTCACCAGAGCCCTCACTTTGCACCCTCACCCTTGACAGTACCCTAACTTATCTACAGCCGAGAAAGCTGAACACGCAAAAGATGGGGAAGAGCCGTATGTCTTACTGCAGGTCATAAAAATTGATCTGAGGTGATGTATGTACTTTAGTAGCCAGGACCCAAGCCTGAGCCCAGATCTGAGCCTGGCTTCGGTTAACTTACATGCATAGGTTAGTAGGTACTGGAAAATTTCCATTCATAAAAACCCACTTATCGAATGATAAAAAGATTAGAGAACCAGCCGCCAGCCCAGGATTAAATGGTTGATTTTACAGTGGAGGGTTTCTGATGCAGGTATCCACTGAGGCGCCATAAGCTCGGACCCAGCCTCCAGCTTCCAGGGGATGTAAGGTCGGTAACCCGCACTAAGACCCATACCTGGTGGAGGTACATAATGACTTGCACGAAAATGCAAGGAGGTAGGTGCTTGTTAGGTATCGGATCTTGGTAGCCGTTTACAAATGTCGATTTTGGTGGGGGTAAAGGAAGGAATTTGGAAAGAAAAGTCGAAGGAAGTCGAGTGGTACATGATCCTTAAATGAAAGACCTCCAAATAAATCGAATCACTTTAACTTAACCACGTAACTAGGGTTTTCCAGAGGCTGATTGATCGACAATTAAATAAACGAAAACGTCACGCCATCGCTATCATCAAGATGCCCATGCCCACCAAACCGTTACTTTAAACGGCAAAGAACAGGGTCTCTGTCCTCCCTCCTTCTCAGCGGGTAGAATCCAGCATCTGCTAGCCAAGCGTGGACACCACCCCAAGCCCAGGGTTGTGGCATGATCCCAGCCTTTGCCTACGAGGAACATACGGAGTTCAAGAAGACCCAACACCGGGGGATCCCTCCAGCCCGGCGTCTCCCGGTACGGAAGTGTTGGATCATGACAAAATGACAGTCCACTTTGTCAGAGACACCACCATATGCGCCGGGTGCTGAGCACTCTGACCTGGGGAGAATCGATCCATGTGCCAACTCCAATACCATTATCCATGGAAACCGGAAGCACACACGGAGTATGGATGGCGAGCAACACCAAGCAAGAGCCTTAAAAAGACCCGCCGTGCTTCATGCGCCGTGGCATGCGGTTCTCCCCTCCCACCTTATAGTCACCAGTGAAAACCCATCTTTTGCTATTCGCGATCCTCACAAAGCATTAGTGCTTCTACTACTTAGCTTGACCAGCCACAGGTTTTCTCTTTCCTTACCTTACACGGCTACTATAGGATAGGATCTTTGCCCGTATACGGACACAGCTGGTGTTCCATTCAACTTGCGCCAACGCACGCACATCCTTGGAAACGCCCTTCCGCTCATTGATCCATTCCGTTGACTTATCTTGCTGTCTGAGTCTGGCTTGCCGAACAGGTATCCAAGACTTTTGGACTCCGCCCGCGTCTGCGCTTTAGTCGATCACTCCCGGGTTGCAATCAGTGACCCCCGCCGCCGAGTTCCTTATTGTGGACTTTGCTTTTGCGCCCGACCTCACTGCTTTAACCTTTTCCTTCCTTGACATCTTTCCCTGTTGTGTCTTCAGTTGCCAATCGACAGTATCAGTGGACGGTCTCACTGCCTCAAGACGCCAATATATATTAGCACGGTCCCCAATGGACCCCTTGTGCCATTGAGCACCGAACATCTCGACTTATACGCCCTTTTGAACAGCAGACGAAGAGTTTAGGGAAACGGGTTTCCACGACACTGGCCCAACATGCCTCTCAGAAGGTCAAGCAACTCGGCCGATGGCCATTCTACTACATCTTCACCTTCTTTCTCCCTGTCAAGTACCAAGCGCCGATTCCCCCTCTTAAGCAGGAGAAGGAACCGACACTCAGATGTGTCGCAGTCCTCAATTCCTCCCTTGCCGTCACCATCACCACCAGCATCCCCTTCACCCTCTCCGAAAGTTGCCAAACCTGGACTCCGGGTGCATGTCCAGGTCAAATTCGAATCCCCTCATAGTTCGGAGCATGTTCGCGACTATGAAGCTTCCCCCCAGCTGAAAGCTACTGATCGCATTTGCCAAGCTTTGCTTTCGCGCCTGCAGCATTGCTCTTCTGAGCTTATCACACGCCACGATAGCAACGCTCTCGACCCGCTCCGCAAGCCACACCGTGATGTTAAGCCATTGCGTTATCGCATCACGTACCGTGTTGAGCGTGATGGCCTTATTCTCGTAGAAAAGTCTTTGCGCTCTTTCCAAGAGTATGAGTTGACACATGACGATGCTCGCGAGGTTGTCGCCGCTACCGACCGGATCATCGGTCTCTTTTTAGTGCGGCACGACCCCGGATTCCAATGGTCCGAGTCCGTTGAGTCTGAAGCTACCAGTCCCGAGTCCGAGACCTTCCGGCCGTGCACCGGCCGGCCTCAATCCATGGCATGCATCCCCCGATCTCATTTTGTTAGCGACATGCAGAAATTCGAGTTTGTATCCGGGTATTCGATTGAGCTTTTCTTGCGCAGCCGTTGCGCTACGCGCTATCCAGAGAACCGGAATGCTTCTATCAAGATTGACAGCCGACAGCCTTCACCTCTACCCCTCCTACTCGGCGAAGAACTGACCACCCGTGTCTCAAATCTTATCATTGACCCAGTTGACGCCTGGAAGCGCAAGTTTGACAAGCGTCACAAGTCTTGCGATGGCCTGGAGGGCAGTGGTGGCTGCACTCATATCGAGGATGGAGCTGTTGATATCATGGTGAAGGTCCGTAACCACATTGGGCCTGACTATACCTACTTCTCCCATCGCATCCAGACAAGCAAGGTTCTGTTTAATGACCACGATGGTCGCGACTTCGACGAGTTCGCCAACCAAGTCAAAGCGAAGCTAGAGAAAGCTCGTGATATGACAGACAAATCTGTGCGGTCCTTGGATGATTTCACTCTCACCATCCGAGAGCTCCGTGGCAAGAACTGGTCTGTCCATGAGCCTCTCATCGTCCGACTCGACCCCACAGTTACATACTGTCGCCAAACCATGGAAGCTGTCATGGAACGTCTCCAGACTGGCATCAGTAACGTCCTTGAACATCATGAGGATGCTCTTGCTACCATGACTGTTCACAAGCGCGGACACCTCATCTTTGACGGTTTCCTTGACGGTGCTGGTGGGGATGACAGTGTGCATCACGAGAAATTTGCGACACCTGATCTGGAGCGAAAGGCCCTCGAAGCCCACTTAAAGGAACGCATTCGTTCAGACATTACGATGCTCTGTAGAGACACATGTGCCATAGACTGCCCTGATACACTGCCAAACTTGCGGCTAAAGACAAGCGGAACAGCTGCATCTTCCATTGGAGCACCCCAATTGATGAGGCCTCCTTTTTCCACAGCTGGCTCATCATCTGCTGCGCCAACTACGCCTTCGTTTACTGCCTCGCTTCCTCGTCAACCCTCCGAGAAGTCCTTCCATGGATCCATGGCCAGCACTCGTTCTGATAACTCTCTTACCAAGAAGCTCGCGAAGGAAAGTCTGAGGGATCCCGTTGAATGCCCCTCGGCACCAGCAACCCCATCACCCGACATCCGCCGAGTACCTTCGGGTGTTGAAATGGCCAAGAAGCATGGGTATATGTCTGACTTCATGGCAGACGATGAGAACCAGTCCGAACCCCCGTCTACTCCAAGTCTGGTGGATACTGATAGCCTCAGCCCCCGAGACAGTGTCGTTGCAACCCCTTCGCGGGCCATGCCCCATGATCAGTCCAACGAGGGACTTCGTATCATAGATGATGGACGAAGAATCATCTACCAAGAGCAGTCTGACATGGATGCCATCGCAAGTGGAATGGTGCAATTCCACCGCCCGATCACCGACGATGACGAGCCAATTCAACTTGTCAAAGAGAAGCCGGCTGAGAATCCCGATAAGAAAGCGGCTCGCCGATCACTGGATACTCGTATGCCGGACCTCTCTGGAAACATAGATCAACTTCCTGAGGCAAAGAAGCACGAGCCAGTCATAATTCAACAAGAGTCACAGCCTCATGCCCCCACGACACCTGAGCTTCAGAAGGCAATGATGGCTGAAGAGCCCTCAACTAAGAGTGTCGCAGAACAAGTACAACAAGTACCTGGACAGGCAAAGGCCGAAGCCATCTCTGAGAAGGGCACCGGCGAGATCCACCGGGCTTTCCAAGAGGAGCAGTGGGAGACGGTTGAGACCAAAGACAAGCCTCGCGAGAATCCCACAGAAGTCGAGGCCAACTCAAAATCTGAAACGAGCTTTGGAACTACACCTGAAGCCAGCATTCGTGAGGATGCCGAGACAAAGGACATTTCTATCCCCGAGGTTGCTGTGACAGTTACCGCTGAAGAACAGCCTTCTAATGAGAAGCAAGTAGAGGCTCAGTTGTCTAATGACTCTGAAGTGCAAACGCCTACGGCTGAGCCTGTCGTTGCTGAGAAACACGACGTTCCACCGGTTGATGCCGCGCAGAAGACACTTGAGGCGCCTGCACTTGGAGAATTCCCTAAGCCACCTTCTAATCACGCCGACACTGATGAGGCTGGTCGTGACGATCAGCAGAAAGAGCATAGCCAGGAAACCCCAATTCAGACCTTGACTTCTGACTTGAAGCAAGCGGAGGAGGATTCAGAAGTGATCACGTCTCCGGCGCCTAAGGGAGCACCTACTTCTAGTGATTCCGGCATTTCTATGGAGGGTGATGCCAAAGACCGCGAGGCTCAGTCGCCAGCTGTAACAGAGCTTGCTGAGAACACATCTCTCCCTTCCAAGAAGACAGACGATCAGGCTGATGCCATTGGCAAGGATGAGCAGCATATTCCGCACTTGGATGCGACCGATGAACAATTTCCTGAGATGGTAACTCACTTTCTTGAAACTGTTCCTGAGGATACTCTTCTCGAACCTACTGAAGTCGTAGCTGAAGATGTCGAGAATGTCACGTCCAATTCACCCAAGATGCCAGAGGAGCCCACGCCTCTCGAGGAACCTCTTCTTATGCCCACTATTGCCTCTGCCCCTCCGGAGAGTCAGCTGACCCCGGACAACTTCTTCTCCTCCTTACCAGAAGAGAAGGAGAAGGGACAAGATTACCCTCGAAAGCCATTCGATACCTCGGATTTCGCCGACGCCCTGGCTCGGCCTCGAGTACGACCTCGAACTGCCACACTGCCCGAGCGCCGTTACTCGACCGCTTTGACTCTTGAGATCGATCTCAATGCCCACAACGACCCTGATCAAGAACACTCACCCATCGAGGATGCTCCCAAGAGCGCTAGTGGTGCGTGGCGGCGAGACGGCCTCCATCGCCGGCAGCCGTCAGCTGGCTTTATCGGCTTGCCAGACCAGCGCCGGCTTCATTCTGTTGGTCTTCGCAGTGCTGTGTTGCCATACCGTTGGCAACAGATGCGCCGTGAACAGGCGCTCTGGGAAGGACGACCCGGCACTTCTCATAGCGAGGCCTGAACTTGGAGATCATCTAGCTCCATTCAATGATGATGATGACTTGCACCATGTTTATTGTTTCAGTTTTATATAACTTCCGAAAAATAAGAATTCAAAAAAGATACTGTTAGGTTATGATGGCAGACACGAAGGATGGGAAGAAAAGGGAAGGCAACTGGCCGATAAGTCCATAAATGGTATGGCCTGGTAAGGGCGTTGGTTAAATTCGATGTCATCTTCATGCAAAGCATTTAGACTTGGAGCATGACATAATGCAGAGGATACCATTTCAGAGTGTTTATATAACGACTGCGTATTCCGAGAGACTTGCTTCCTCTTCTAATGTGACCATTGTCGATGTGCCTTGGGACCTGAAGATGCTGCTTCACCTTTTCACCAGGGGATATCCTTCTTATCGTCCTTGAAAGTACCAGTCTCCCCATCAGACCCCAGGGTGGCAGCTTTCACAGAGCTAATGGCACCCAGATCAACTGGCTCGGTTCCTGCGAATCCATTCAAGGCAGTCCGGGAGTTGTGCCCTGGGCATGCAATATTGATCTTCCACTGCGGATCATTCTCATACCTGATGGCAAAGTGGAGCCCCATCATGTTGAGAGCCGACTTGCTATGCGTATAAACACCGAAATCAAAGCTATGCATTGGGCTCGTCGGATCGGCCTTCAGTGTTAAACTGCCCAAGGCGGTAGAGACAAAGACAATGCGGCGGGTCTTGGTAGAGCGCTCAAGGAGGGGGATAAAAGAGTCAGTGACGAGGGCGGTTCCGATACAATTGGTGTTATAGACAGCCATCATAAGTTCTCGCGGAGACACGGCCATACCATAGTCTGAGATAGCGCTGTTGTTGATAAGGATGTCAAGACGACCAAATTTATCACGGATAGTCTCGACCGCAGCGGCGATGCTATCATCTGATGTGATGTCCAGTATGAGAGGTGAGACATTAAGTCCCTGAGCTTGGAGCAAAGCGTTCGCCTCTTGCACGGCTTGTAGACGGCGGCCAGAGACAATGACGTGGTAATCATTGTTTTCGCTCGCAAGCTTCTTGGCGATTTCGAAGCCGATACCCTGATTGGCACCAGTGACGAGGGCGATAGTGGTATTGGGGCTGATGGTAGGGAGAGACATGATCGTGTCTTTTTCGGCTAGGTTGCGTGAGTGTTGATGGTGAGTAATGTCCCGTTGAGTATGGTGGCGATCTGAGCAAACCGTTTCCTCACAGCACTTCTTGCTCTTTTATATCTAGGATAGATTCTGATGAGACACATGACATGTGGTTGTCGTCATGTTGGTGACTTTCATCTCTATTTCCGATATTGATTGTCGTTGAATCCTAAATCCGAAGTTGAACTAGGAGCTTGGGGCCACTCTGAGATTGATTACCCCTTTGGGAATGAGGTTGAATCAGTGAGATGACAAGGTTTGTCAGTCTTGATGATGCCAAGCAGAGGCTGAGCATTCGGAATACACTCCTGACTTGCCCAATGCCCCAGTCAAATAGCATTGCATCTACGCTTATGCGTAAGAAATGAATGCGAATGCGAATGCAACAAGTCGATACTTGCGAGCTGCAAACCAGGATGGTAACGGGTGTGTACACAAAGCTGAACTGTCTTGTATGGAAAAAATACGTTTGATGTATCGTGGCCTACCTGGTTCGAGCTCTGCTCCAGCAAGCACATCAAACAAGTTCAGCATCACCGATGTCAACCATATGCTTTGCACTTGACCATCGTAATATGAGCACGTCACCATTCTTGGCAGGGAGAGTGATGTCGTCGTCGGTTCCTTTACCATGAACGTCCTTGTCTCTTAGCATGCGGATAAAGACAGCCATATCCAGATCTGGTGAATCGATCATGCTGATGTTGCCTGCAGTGTCATTGAGGTTCTGTAGTTGCTGCGGAAAAGATGCCAGGAAGGATGAGAGATAGTGATTGTGCAGGAGAGCCTGATGTCTTGTCGCATAGGCTGCTTCTGTTGGTGACATCCTGTCTCTCAGCTCTTGGGTTGAGAGGTAATGTAGGGTGTGTTTATCGATCTAAGGAGAGTCAATCTCCTGTAGGCTAATGAGACTAAGGGCACTTACCTTTGCTATGCGAGCCCGAAGAAAACTTCGAACGAGGAATTTGTACCTCTCGAGCTCAGTCTGAATAACGATGAGGGCAAAGTTTGTCTTTGGATCCATATCACCCGTCATATCCTCAACCTTTTCGATCTGGGATTTGATGCGTGCATTGACGCGCTCGAACAAGCCATCTGTTGGCCATCTGTATAGATGTTGTGAGTATTAGGAAGCAGGAGGAAGAGCACTCAAGACTTACTCGAGAAGCTCAGGTGCTGAGCGTTCAGCAACCCAGAGACGCGTCAAAGCTTGCAGATCGCGTGTTTCGCTGGGGATTCTGTGAGACGTGGGGTCGACTTGGCGAAGAATGTCATCGATATCCATTTCAGAGAATGAATAGTTCTCAGATCACGAGACAGAAAGGTTAGAGAAACTGCGGTGGCACAGTTGGCTGGCTTATATATTATATTTTCCTGTTGAGGTTGATCGTCAAGGGAGACTATGAATGGTGGAGTGTATTTGTGAGGCTGGAGGGAATGGATGTTTCTGTGGGAGCGGGGCCACTCACTGTTATACTATCTAGGTACGATAATTGGCGTCCTCGCCATTTGACACCCGAGACTTGACGTTCTTTTCAGCAATTGTTCGTAAATACTGACCCTAAAAGAAGGATGCTTATATCGAGTTCTCTTGAATTTATTCTTCACGGGTATGTACAAGGTTTGTTGGCCTTCTATGTTTCAGTGGTCGATCCCACACGAAGCAATTGTCTATCACCTCTATCCTTCAAATCATCCCCCCCCCTATCTTTACACATCTACATGTTCTGCATTTACCTCAATCTGTTTGAGATGGTTACTGGACCTTCTTGAGAGGCTTATGTGCCTCCCTTTCTGCTTTTTCGAAGCCATTCACTCGGCCATACACCCACTTGAGGAACGAGGAAGAGACTGTGACTAGCCCAGCTGAAAATGTGAACAGCATTACTCGCTGGGTCGTGGAAAGAAGTTCGAACAGTGGATATGGGTACCTGTCGGTGTTAACGATCTGTCAACTCACACTCACCGAGAAGTCAAGAACAACTTACCATCCATTGTGGCTAAAGCAGAGCTCAACCCAGTACCAATAGGCAAAGGCAATGACAGTGCTGATTGCCATTATACCGTAAGCTGGGATGGTCCAAGGAGGGCTAAGAAGGACGAGATCCAGACTCAGGAGTACAGCCGGCGCAAGGTGAAATCCCATATCAGGGACGATGTGCAGATAGAAGTCATCAGGCATAAGCAGCTTGGGGTCAATGAGCCTCAGTCCCCAATACAAAATTGAGATAACAACTTCCAAGGGCGTAGCAAGAACAGCAACCGCATTCTTAGCCTGGAAGAGCGTTGGGCTTAGGGTAATATCGGCCAATGCCCCGAGAACAAAGGCAATGAGTGATGCTGAAAGGCCAATAATGGTAAGGAACTGCATATGCCATCCGTAAGACCTGGCTATAGGTGTATCCCAGACTGTGAGAAAGTGAAAGTTGTAACTGAAAGAGGCTATTCCGATGATATGAAGCAATAGCGAAACATCTCGTGAGGGCGACGTAAGTCGTTGAAGGGGGTGACGAGGTGCCATGATGGTCGTGGTCCAGAGAGGTTATTCAGCGGTTATTCAGGTGGGATGTGCAGCCGTAGGCGAGAAGAAGGATTATATGATATAGCACGGAGAATAGAAGCGAAAGATTAGAAAAAGATGAATTCGAATGTACTACGGATATTTCACATGATATAACTAATAAAGCAAGGAAAGGAACCTGATTTGACCCGTCTTCGGAGCCGGGGTCTCGGACCTGATGGGATCCCGTTTAGGTACGTTTTAGATGTCATGACCTCAATGTGGACCTGATTGGCATCGTATTTACTACTCCGTACCTAGGTAGTAATTACTGGACCTAGGAACGCCACAGTTCGAGGTCGTGCCACTTGAGGCTGAAATTGCCTCGACAACAATCTGTGCCTGTCGCAAAGTGTACATCAACGAAAAACTGCATCTTGGTCGCAACAACCCAGAAACAACGGGTTTGCATTTCTGGAGCAGGCAGATAGTCGAGATGGCCTCAGATGATGACAATCGCTCACAGAAGCGCAACCATTCCGAGTTTCGTGATGATGCGTCTGGTACAGCAATCCCTATCGCGTTACAAATAACGATGCTAACAAATCGTCCAGACAGCTCCTCCGACGATGAAATGGGCCCTCAACTGCCCTCACAAGCCCCCAAGAAGAAGCGACGAGTCCTGCCCCACGAAAAGCTTTACGTCGCGGCTTTGCCCAAGTCGCCCCGCTACTCAAAGTCCCTGATGCACAAGGAACAGATCCTCTTTGCGACATGGACTCCCCTGACCGAATTCCTCATCACGTCCTCGATCGATGGTGTCGTCAAGTTCTGGAAGAAGATTGCTCAAGGCATTGAGTTTGTCAAGGAGTTTAAGGCGCACAATGGCGAGATTAAGTCGGTTTCCGTGAGCAATGATGGGCGAAGCTTCGCGACGGCCGGTGTCGACGAAACAGTCAAGATTTTCGACGTCATCACATTCGACCTACTATCCATGATCTCTCTTAACTATGCCCCCAACTGCGTATGCTGGGTTCATAGCAAGGGCGCCTCGCTGCCACTCCTGGCCGTATCCGAGGAAACGAAACCCCTGATTCATATCTACGACGGACGAGGCGAGAAGGAGGAGGCTATCCACACTATCAAGGGCTTGCATAGGAAGCCTGTGCATCTAATTGCTTTCAACGAGGCATACGACTGTGTGGTGTCCGCTGACGAGGGTGGTATGCTCGAATATTGGCGACCGAGCGGCGACTACGAAAAGCCAGAGGGAGTTTTTGAGTACAAGAGTTCAACCAACCTTTTCGACTTCAAAAAGGCCAAATCAGTGCCGTCATGCCTCTCCATATCTCCCAACGGCAAAAGTTTGGTAGCATTCTCTTTGCCAGATAGGAAAATACGCATCTTTGACTTTGCAACAGCCAAATTACATCGCGAGTATGATGAATCTTTGCAGGTTGCTGAGGAGATGCACCGTTCAGGGGCGGGAGCTGCTAAACTTGACAACGTCGAGTTTGGGCGGAGGACAGCTCACGAGAGAGACATTGAATCGCAGACGCTCAAGTACAAGTCCAATGTCATCTTCGACGAATCAGGGAACTTTATTATCTACGGCTCCATGCTGGGAATCAAGGTGCTCAATACATATACCAACCAAGTGGTCAAGGTGTATGGCAAGGATGAGAACTTCCGCGCTGTCAATATTGCCATATACCAAGGAGCACCCCAGAAGAAGGGAGTGACGACAGTAGAAATGGGTGCTTCCAGTAATCCCCTTTTACAGGAAGCAGAGACCCGAGATCCAATTCTGGTTGCAACTGGTGTTGGTAAGGTGCGGTTTTACATGTTTTCAAACGAGGAAGACATCTCCAAGTCGACACGAGATGTGCAGAACGAGAAACCGATGGTGTTGGGCAACAAGAAGGACGCACAAGCGAAGAAGACCGAGACGGGCACCGGAGCCGTCATTCACACTACGTATGGAGACATTCACATCCGCCTGTTCCCTGACGCGGCACCAAAGACCGTTGAGAACTTTGTCACACATTCTAAGAATGGCTACTACAACAACACAATCTTCCACCGTGTCATCCGCAAGTTCATGATCCAGGGTGGAGACCCTCTAGGTGATGGTACTGGGGGTGAGAGCATCTGGGGCCGCGAGTTTGAAGACGAGTTTAGCAGCCTCAAACACGATAAGCCATACACAGTCAGCATGGCCAATGCAGGACCTAACACGAACGCCAGCCAGTTCTTTATCACAACAGAGAAGACGGTAAGTTTGCTTCCTGTTCTTAACGATGAGCATGCACTGATGTTGAACAGCCATGGCTAGACGGAAAGCACACCATTTTTGGTCGCGCTACCCAGGGATTTGACATCATCCACAAAATCGAGAACGTACGGACGCACAAGGAGAAACCCGAGGAGGATATCAAGGTGCTTAACATTGATATCATATAGTATTACTGATGACTGGGCACGAGCCTGCAAAATCGGGAAACGCCCACATCGCCATATTGATACGACTAGCTCACTCTTGACATCCATGCTGAGCCCGTGAGGGCATGTAGAAACCAAGAGTCCTCTCCGTGACGTCGAACTCTGCTACACTGGCTGAACGCCGCCAAAGTCGTGGTCCGTAGAGCTTCTGTCCATCGTCGCCCCTAAATATCCGACTTTAATTAGTGCAAGACCTCACCAGCCAAAGGGGCAAGTAGTGGCCGTTCGCCATTTTTATCTCTTCGCTAAAGGTGAGTCAAGCTAAAAATCTGGAGCATCCTTCCCGTCCACGCTCCACTTAGACTAGACAATGGGTACTTGATCCTCCACCAGGATTGCACGTTTCGGCCCTGTACTGTACCTCTTGGGATCGTTGCTGAACCGGCCAGCTAGATTGCGGGGCAAGGCTCACCTCATCCAATCAGTGGCGGGATAATCGAACTTGAAAGGCGTGGAGTGACTCTCTTTGAGTGTGACACACCGAGGCCGGCGCAAAGGGAAAGTGAAGGAAGAAAGGGACAGGTCAGGGTCTGGAAACCACATAAAACTATAATTTTTTGGCCCTGGTCAAGAGGACTTGATGTTATTCTGACTTTTTCACACTTGGCTCTTCTCATCATATTCCCCTTTCTGCGGTATTCCCAGATTCGCGCAATTGAGTTCCTCTCTTCTCTTAACATCCCACTCTTGACTTGTATACCCTCCAACCCCACCATCGCCGTCACCATGTCTTCTGTAAGTCCACCTCTTCGAGCTCTCTACTCTCCGCTCTCTGCTTTCAGTGTGAGGGGTGACTCACGATGATCCCAGTTCTTCATTCCCAACAAGAACGTTGGCAACCAAGCCGACTCGGAAGATTGGAGAAGTAAGTATCCCCCAATAGCTCTCTCTGGCTTAAACAACTCGTCCTTCCAGCGCATATATTAATTATTTCTAGTTCGCGGCTACAACCCTCTGACTCCCCCCGACCTCCTTCAGCACGAGATCTCCCAAACCCCCGAGTCCAAGAAAACCGTTCTGCAAGGTCGTAATGAGACTGTAGCCATTGTTAATGGCACCGACGACAAGAACCGATTGCTTGTCGTCATTGGTCCTTGTTCCATCCACGACCCTGCTGCCGCCCTCGCCTACTGCGACCTCCTCTTGAAGGAGAAGGAGAAGCACAAGGATGAGCTTCTCATCGTCATGCGATCTTACCTTGAGAAGCCACGCACAACCGTTGGCTGGAAGGGGTTGATCAATGATCCTGATATCGATGGCAGCTTCCAGATCAACAAGGGTCTGCGAATCTCTCGACAACTCTTTGTCGACCTTACAGCCAAGGGTATGCCCATTGCCAGTGAAATGCTGGACACTATTTCTCCCCAGTTCCTCGCCGATCTGCTCTCAGTGGGTGCCATAGGCGCCCGTACAACCGAGAGCCAGCTTCACCGTGAGCTTGCCAGTGGTCTGAGTTACCCCGTGGGCTTCAAGAACGGAACTGATGGTTCTTTGAACGTCGCCATTGATGCCATTGGTGCAGCCCAGCACCCCCACCACTTCCTGTCTGTTACCAAGCCTGGTGTTGTCGCCATTGTTGGTACCGAGGGCAACAATGATTGCTTCGTCATCCTTCGCGGTGGCTCCAAGGGCACCAATTTCGATGCTGAGAGCATTGCTGCTGCCAAAGAGGCGCTCAAGAAGAAGGGCGTACGACAGCGAGTCATGGTCGATTGCAGTCACGGTAACTCTTCCAAGGACCACAAGAACCAGCCCAAGGTTGCTGCCAATATTGCAGGCCAGATCTCCAAGGGCGAGGAGGGTATCATGGGAGTCATGATTGAGAGTAACATCAACGAGGGTAAGTCACGGTCATCGTTAACAGAATCGGCCTCAGCTAACTTATTAAAGGTAACCAAAAGGTACCCGCTGAGGGTAAGTCGGGACTCAAGTATGGTGTAAGCATCACCGATGCTTGTATCAGCTGGGAAGACACTGTCTCAACACTCGAGACTCTTGCGCAGGCTGTCAAGGCCCGCCGAAAGCTCTCAAACGGAGCCTAAATTCTGATTTCCACCACATTACGGGCATGTGATACGTTTAGCACCCGATCCAGAACAATTTGTCTTTGGGATTGGGGTTGTATATTGTTGCAGTGGCTCGCGTATGTGATTCAAGGCTTGGAGTTTAATGGATTCTTGATTCAAAGGATAGATAAAAAGCATAATGCAAAAGGGCGAAATCTGGAAAGTAACAGACAATGAGAAGATGTAAGGTTATTTAACATAAAACAGCCGTGTTTCCATCGTGCTGATTGATTTGAAGCCATCAACTTCCCGCCACTCGCTGAGATAGATCTGGGTAACTCGATAAAAACAACAGATTAACCTTGTCTCCCCCTACGCAGAATAGACTCTATTTTTGCCTTATATCTAATATCAACTCTCAATAAATAAGTCCTTTAATATATACTTTTATCACGATTCAACCATTCCTTATGCCTATTCGTTATAAAAAGGCTTGCAAGGTGGACAAACCGTGGATAAAACCATCGAAAGCACTATAAAACACATTATATCCTCTCGAAGAGGAGGTTTCTATTGTGTAAATCAGCCATTTCCTTACGGGAGTGTATCACATACTGTCCCTGCCAGACGCGCACACTGTGACGGCCAAGTTGTTATGTATGGCGCGGCGTCATTACTCCTGGTCTGATCTTATTAACACTGTGCCGCTAATAAGCTTCCAACTGGCGTTTTTGAAGAACAAGCAACCCAAGTTCTCACATTTTAGATAATCACCAACCCGCTTATCAAAGATACTCGCAGTAGTTTCTGCATCTCAATCATCAACCAGCAGCTCGCTAGATTCCTCCGCTATTCAAATATTATCAATATAATTTAACCCCGCGCAATCACTCTCAGCTTCATCGATAAGGAGACGCGCCTGAGCGTCCAGGTCGCCAACAATGGTACGCGACTACTCGCCACCCGAGTCGCCGCTCTCATCGGTGGACGAGTCAGACCAATACGAAGAGGACGGCCACGAGTACGATGAATCAACATTGCGACCCTCGAAGCGCCAGCGACTTGAAGCCGGTTCAACTACGTCTTCTGCTGTAGTTCCTGATGTCGAGGCCGAAGCGGTGCCTGAGCCCGATCCCCTCGAGGGCATGTCCGATGTGTCATCGGATACCTCAGGCGATATCCCCAGTTCCCCGATCAATGCGCGCCTCGACGAAGAAGACTTCCAAGAACAAGTCACGAAATGCGACTGGGATGGTTGTCCAGCGGGCGACCAGGGCAACATGGACAAGCTGGTTGAACACATCCATAACTCGCACATTGAGAACCGGCAGAAGAAGTATACCTGCGAATGGATGAGCTGCACGCGAAAGGGCCTACCGCACGCCAGTGGTTATGCCCTCAAGGCGCACATGCGTAGCCATACAAGGGAGAAGCCTTTTTACTGCTACTTACCTGGTACAATCACCTCGGCTGATTTTCCTTTGCGTAACATGCTAACTCGCTGCAGAATGCGACCGGTCTTTCACTAGAAGCGATGCACTTGCTAAACATATGCGTACGGTTCACGAGACAGAAGCACTCCGTCCGTCTGACCCTGTTCCCAAGTCAATGCAAGCTGGGCCACAGGGCAAGGGAGGCAAGATAAAAATCATCATGAAGACCAACCAACAATCGCAAGGGCCCCATGATGACATGGACGATACTGCCAACGGCGACGAATCTAACGCCGAGTACTTTACACCATTGACGTCGGATCTCTTCACCAATGCTGAGCTTGAGCTTCCTGTCGACAAGCTGTACCGAAAGTGCCATTGGGAGGGCAAGTGGGCCGAGGAGATTGGAGAGTCTCTGATGAAAGAGTGCAAAGAGTGGGAGGAAATCTACTACAAGGAGTGGCTCGAGAAGGAGGTTCTTCTTGCGCAGGTCATTCAGAGCGAGGTCAATTGGCATGAGCGACGACAGGCCATTCTCACAGGGGTTGTCGATGTTCACGTTCCTGGCGCCGTAGAGAGCGTCGAAGGCGAGAGAACAAACGGTGCGAACGCTGAAAGCGACGGAGCTGCCAACGGGACAAAGGTGGCAGAGCTCACTGCGTAGGAAGATCATTCACCAAGGACCACCGACACCTTGATACGTCGACGAAATCCACCCCGACGTCGCCGGATACCTTATGCAAGGTAGATATACTGGTAACTGCACGCTTTGCACTATAAAACTTTGTACCACAAATATCTTACGGAAGGGAGTTGAGGGAGTTGGGTTATGAGAAATGGGGAGCTTACAATACATGGGTTCTAATTCCCAATATAGCTGACTAAATCATGATTTAATTGAAACGGTATACATACATATGTGCCCACGTAGCCTGTTCTTACAGAGCCTTCTTCTTGGCCCGGTACGATTGAGAGTTCTTGAAAGGGAATCCGCTTGTGCTCTGGTCAAACTTGTGGTACCGGCTCGTCATGGCTGTATCACCAGCAAACAACACACAGTACAATCCAAAGGTCGCAAAGACGGCACTACCTAAACAGCCAAGTAAGAACCCCGTCTCTCCAGTCCAGGCATAGCGACCGTAGCAGTAAAAGGCGCTCGAAGCGTGGTGGAGGGTGGATATGAGGACCGCAGCGGAAGCGTAGGGAGATGGTACGCCTTCAGGGGCCTCTGCCATTGGGAGTTAGACGTATGCGACTCTAAGCGAGAGGTGTTTGTTACCTTGTGAAGCAGAATCGAGAGGAAGAACGCCTGAGAGAACCACTACGGTAAGGCCGAGCGCAAGGAGAGCGAGTCCTAAAGAGCGGGCAAAGTACGTTTCCAAAGCTCGGGAGTTGTTAGCCGACACGATAGCGAGGAGCTGTAGGAGAGCCTTACTGGTACATGTTTCGTTGTCAGGCCGAAGAAGAGACCCGACAAAGGAGGGCCAGACAATGAGAGGAAGAGCTTGAGTGCTCAACCAGAGAAAGTTACCATATGTGTATGAAGCAATGGCCTGGGAATTGTCAGTCGGTGAATTGAGAGCATGATAGTGAAAGCGCATACGCTCATTGTTCCAAGTTGTGTATAAGTAAGGTTTGAATGAGAACAGCAAAAGGCAAAGTCACGATTTGGTCAAGGTGAAGCTATAATTGAAGATGCAGGTTGAGGCTGAAGCTGAAGCTCTGGAGCTGGTCAATGTCTGGAGGTCAGAGGCTTAGACCAAGCATCGACGTCACCATCAGGTATGAAAGGCATGTGCTTAGGTGCCCCATCGCATTCGGCTTGCCTTCCGCTATGGAACCCCACACTCCCGAACCGAGAGGCTGGACGGCTCGAATGGTTCGCCACCAAAATTTATAGAGCCGCTTCTGTCTGGTCCGATCTCGCATGTCCACTGTAAGACTATCCCGCGGAAGGCCCTGACTGTGGAGGGACTAGAAATCACCATTGCAAATCACACCGTTTTTATTGCCTATCTATAGGCAACTTTAGCACGGCCTTATGCGCCGTCTTCGCCGTGTCCGGTCCTCCGAGGAGTTATACAAAACCAGGCCCATGTGCAAGCCAACCCGGGATTAAGTGACTATCAGAAACATTTCATACCTTATCTCTGGATTACATTTGAGACCTTTTTGTTCTGATATCAGTATTTCTTCTCTTTAATCTTCCATTACGGCAAATCTCCAGGACAAGACCGTAGGCTTATTTGTCAGCTAGCTTGCTCCAGTCACAATTACGTCCAAGTCTCCAGTTAAAAATTCCCGACAGGCAACTTCGCACTTGGACAAGAATATCCTGTCTTCAACAATCTCTCACACTGCCGACAAGGGCATCCTCCTCCTCTACTGCATACAACATCTCCCCAAACAACCGGCGCTATGAGTGCAATTCTCTCTGCCGACGACCTCAACGACTTCATCTCTCCTGGCGTCGCTTGCATCAAACCCGTCGAGACTCTCCCCGCTGCCCCGCCCCCGCAATCTCTCGAGACCGAAGTTATACTTGACGGCCAGCAGCCTGCTACGAATTCGAATGCGCCCGCTCAGATCTCCCTCACAGACTGTCTAGCCTGCTCTGGCTGTGTTACATCTGCCGAGGCTGTCTTAGTGAGCCTCCAAAGTCATGCCGAAGTCCTCGCTACTCTTGATTCGGCCCCAGCCTTGAAGTTGGTGACAGACGATAGTGGCAGGTTCAGGGTGGAAGGGCTTGAGGAGGAGAATGCAAAGCTCTTTGTTGTCAGCGTGAGCCCTCAAACAAGGGCCAACTTAGCGGCAGCATGTGGCGGAGGCGTGTCAGAGGGCGATGCCGGGCACATGCTGGACAACCTTTTTCGTGGTCCCTCTGGAATCGCCAGTGGCGGCAAATACAATAACGAGTTCACATGGGTGGTTGATACCAATACTGCAAGGAAGGCAACCCTCGTTCTTGGAGCAGAAGAAGTTCTCAGCACCTCTCAGACCGAAACCACAACCCCAGCCAAACCCATATTATCCTCGTCCTGCCCCGGTTGGGTGTGCTATGCGGAAAAGACACACCCCCACGTTCTACCCCATATCTCAAAGGTGAAGTCGCCACAGGCCTTAATGGGCACATTACTAAAGACGACACTGAGCCGAACGCTGGGTATTGCACCTAGCCGCATCTGGCATCTGGCTGTTATGCCCTGCTTTGATAAGAAACTGGAGGCAAGCCGAGAGGAGTTGACCGAGGAGGTTTGGGGTGAAGGGGAAACCGGGGGGCGTGGGGTTCGCGACGTTGACTGTGTCATCACAAGTAAGGAGATTCTCATGCTCGCCGAGTCAAGAGGCCTCAGCTTCTTCGATATCCCCAAGACACCGCTGCAAAGCAAAAGTTTAACCCCATTCCCTGATCCAAAGCTCCACCAGTTTCTTTTCCCTCGCACACGGACCGGAAATACACCTCGCGAAGCCGGCACTTCAGGGGGCCTTCTCTATCATATTCTCGAAAGCCGGGCGGCGCAGACTCCTGGTGCAGAGATTGTGCATACACGCGGCCGCAACGTTGATGTTGCCGAGTACTCGATTTTGGTGAATGGCGAGCCAGTCTTCCGTGCTGCCCGGTATTATGGCTTCAGAAATATCCAAAATCTCGTTCGAAGACTAAAGCCGGCCAGGCCGTCTCGAATGCCTGGTGGCAAGCCTTTTGGAAGTGCTCGGAAGCCTGCAGGCAAGGCGGCCTCTCTGGAGTATAGTTATGTTGAAGTCATGGCATGCCCTGGCGGCTGTACAAATGGTGGCGGCCAAATAAAAGTTGATGACCCTGTTGTCATGGAAAGAAAGAATTATTCCGGAAATCCAGGCCCTCAAGAGCAAAAGATGTGGTTGTCAGAGGTTGACGAGGCATATTTCTCTGCAGACGAGGCGGGCACTGAAATTTCCGTTGTTGGGACTGCCGAGACTATTGGTGGCATTTCCCACTCATATATAAATGATACCCTGGCGCATTGGGCGGAAGTTACAGGTGTTGGCTTAGATAGACTGGCGTTTACGACATATCGTGAAGTTATTAGCGATGTTGGAAAGGATAAAACGACGGACGAGACGGTGGTGCAGCTGGCCGGAAAGATTGGAGGTGGGTGGTAGAAGCAGAGCATGTCGATAGAAATAATCAACTGCCCCTGTTGCCTCGATGAGCAAACCCGAATCCTCCTCGGCCACTTCCGTCTGGTCCTTTTGGTGATCGAATTGGTGCCCGTGGTTGCAATTGCTGCTGCTGCTGCTGCTCATCTCGAGGGGTTGTACTCCTACCAGGGGACGAGTAATCTGGCTGGCGTCTTTGAGGAGGATGTTCAGGTTTTGGGCTGAAGTTGGGGTCGAATAGTTCGCGCCCTGAGCCTGACATATTCTGCATTCTTCGTGGGGCATCAAACGGACGATTTTCAGGCTGACGGTTATCCATCGGTCGCGTGTCGTTATTCCTGTATCCGCCCCTTCCTCGGCCACGGCCGCGACCGGCGTATCCATCTACCTTGGGCGGGGTGACTGTGCCAGGTGATGAGGCTCCTGAGGATGGGTTTGATTCTCCGAAGATCTTGGCTCTGACTTCTTCGTATCGGCGTTTCTTTTCGTCTCTGTCTTGCTTCTGCTTTGCTCGTATTTCTTCTGGGCTCATCGGCACCTCCCTCTTTGTTTCATTATCGTCATCTAATGAAAGGCTGGACATCCCTGCTGTAGCATCGCGCTTAGCGATGTTGGGCTTTCGGCTGAGCACTGTGACTTGTGGTTTGAACGGGGCTGTGAGAGGAACCCCCGAGTTTGAACCAGCCTCGATGTAGTGGAAGGTTTGTGGTGTGTCGCTGTTGTATCGGATCCTCATGTTAGTGACACCGGGACATATTGCTGAGGTGGGAGGGCTTACGCAGATTCCCACAACCTGCGATTCTGCTCAGCGTGCTGCGCCAGGCGCTCGGATTTGGACAAAGGCACTGGCGGTGTCGGCTGTTCGGGTTCACTGGCCATCTTGTCTGCCTGAGCCTCCCAGTCATCCTCCCAGGCGTCAGGGATCACTGCGGTATTCTTGCCCATGGCGAAGAGCTTTTTCTCGTGCCAGGACCAATCTTGCTTAGGTATTGTGTATATGTCAACGCCGTCGTCTTCGTCGGGGGAAAAGATGCTTGACAGTGTTATTGGAGATCGTGAAGTTGAGCATGGAGTTGAGGTTCAGCCAACAATTACTGTTTGTTCAGTTGGGTTACTAGATTGGAAAAGAAAGAATAGGACGGGCTGATTGCTGGTGGGTTTTCTGGTTAATTTAGGCCCAAAAGCTGAGCTGAGCTGGCTTGAAATGGATTCACGACGTCAGGCACCTGCACTCTTTTTGTTTAGGTGTTTCTGCTCAAGACCCTGAGTCTAGCAGGTAGCTCAAATCAAAAAGAGATACGAAGACAAACATAAAAATAAATAGAAATTGCCTGTATGTATATTTTATTATACAAGTAACAAATCTCGGTTCATTTCACAATTGTTTAGGTAGTGCTTGTGGATTTCACAGGGCGAGTGCGGGGTGGCTTGCCATCTTGGTGGGGAAATAACAGGCCTACCTTAGGCTGGGCTGGGCCGGTTTTGGCTGTTGACCTTGAAATGCCGTTGCTTTTGATCGAACTGTCATGTACCTTAGCCCGTATATACGTAACACTGAAAACCAAGTTCTTGTCTTGTAACCATTTTCCCAAATACAAACCTACTTGGAACGTTTGTTAGAGATCTTCCTTTCTAGCCCTTCACTAGTATTGATCAGCCTTTATTTTGTGACCGAGATCCATTCTTATCCATCAGATATCCCCTATCGACCGCTTTAATGGCTGGCGGATTACGTTCATCACCCATCCCTCAACAAGAGATGGCCGACCAAGCCGCCAACACAAGCGCGAAGAGAAATGCAGAAGAAACTCAGATATTGCGCTCAAAGCTGGTTGATCAGCATATCAGCATGCGTAAGCTTTTCGGCTCAAAGGATCATTCGTTTTCCGGTGTAGTTATTGACGAGTTCTCTAGTAAACTATCCAGATCCCTTGAAGCCTCGAGCACCGCTTCAGGTTTACCCTCAAGGCATTACTCCAGAGATGGAGGCGAGGTGGCTTCAGATGTTGAAACAGAACAGTGTATGAGTTTCTGAATGCCTGCTCGAGGTGGATCGGTCTCCCATGGCGGTATGTTCAGAGCAATCTATCACTGAACATATTGGGAAAGAAAAGTCCCTCTTTCAACCACTGATACTCAGTGTAACAATGTGTTATTCTACTCTTCCTTATAGCATTAAACTATCTTTTTGTATTGAGCGACTTATTAATACCATTGCAACCATTCCTTGAGGCCCGATATGTTGCGCACTTCCAATTATTTGGCCATTTGCACTTAGGAGTCTTGTTGGTCTGAGCTGTATGATAACCTGAGCACTTAATGATAATAGGATACGCCCTAGCAGGATAATCAGTTACGCCAGGCACACGACATATATCAGGGCCGAGCTCAAATATACATACTAGTCAGTAGTTGACTGACTGAAGAGGTTGTGAAGAGTCTCTCAGGAGTGTTTCGTCATCTATATCCATATCTGACTTTCGCCTACAATACAGTAAAGTGAACTTCTTGAAGGCAACTTGGTATATTTCAAGTGCCTTGCCGTTTTCATTGTCTATGTGATACATACTGGTTGAGCTTCATGGCCATTCAGTTCACAATATCGTCGTTTATCATTCTCTGTTACGAAGATTTCAGTGATACACCAATCAATCGGATTTATTGCGAAAACTCTGATACGGTCGGTGACATGCCGCGTAAATGTGATCAGCTTAGCCTGGATATAATAAGCTGATATTATGGCAGTGTCCCAGGCGTGAGGCGCCATGCATTTCAGCTTACGGGACTAGCGATGCTTCATTGTGAACCCCTGGCATGCCTTACTAGCTCACTCGGGGCTATGTTACTTTGTTTCTCTCCAAATGCCACTAGCAAGTCGAGGTGTCTTGTTCGAGGTGTCACAATCGGAATATTGCCCAATGGGGCAGGGGATTGTAACACAACAGCCACATGGGAAGGTTGCAGCAAGAGCTGGAAGTCGATCAATCACCATACTAGGATCAGGTTTGTGATGACTTCGTTGGTCGATACAATGATACAGACGAGAACACCAGACCTGGTGAAGTCCCATTTGTAAGTCAATCCTGCCGCTGATGAGTTGGAGCATGCGATGTATCACAATTCCAGAGAAGCCATGGCCAATAAACTAGGACCCATGTTTTGCCTATCAGATTCTGATATTAGTTGAAAATGTATAATAGTTGATGGACGCGAATTTATGTCACTGAGGCGGGAGAATCAAGTCTCTTTTAATACACGAGTATGGACATCAGAGTGAAACACGGCGCATATCATCCTGAGCTTGGGGAGCAAGAAAACATCAGACCTTGACATATGGTGTTGAAATAAACTCAGCAAAGGGTACCCTAGATTTATCTTAAATTTAAGATAAAATAAAAATAAAAAGAAGAAGAAGAAGAAGAAGAAGAAGAAGAAAACTTATGGCAAGTTATACTATGTAGGATCGAGGTCTTGAATTTTCTTTCCTCCCCTAGCTTGAGTGTACTGTGCTGTAGAATGGCACAGATGTATGTAGTAGTCTTAAGAGTATCTGAAACAATAATTCAATCAAGACACTCAGATGACTCGAGCAGCGGATCGAAAGTCAATACACCCTTGTTCGAGATAGTGGCAATAAAGTCATGTTGCAGTCGCTTACTTTGCTCCGGACATGACTACCTCGCCAACTGACCACATGCAAATGCTGGGACTCCGTATCCGTATTGTCGGTTCACCAAAGATCCGGTGTAACGCACTGTAGGCAACCAGATTTACGACCAATGATTGATGCTGAGGCCGATGTTGATGCAGCGAGGCTGAAAAGCAGTGTGAACCAGAGTACACGGCGTCCATCTGTTATCGGTCGGTTACCTGGCAAGCCTGGGTTCTCTGGCTAGCTGGGCTAGAACCTGATGTATGTATTGAGCAATCACAGAAAGGATCATGCATGCCATGGCACGGCTGGATCCTCTAGGCCTCACGGGACGAGGAAATCGCCCCGAGCCGAAAGGGGCCATAAGCTTGTGGGTTGCAAGGCTGTTATTCGTACTTTGTGAAGATGTACTAGAATACCTTGACCTATCACGAGATATTCATATTCTCTTGATCGGATGTAGCAGTGCTGGAGTTGAATGAGACCCTGTTAAGTTCTGGGCTTCTTGTGTTGTCCTGTGGTGGGAGTGAATAAGGTCAACTAGTAGGTAGAGATGTGTTGCTTCGAAATGCATGTTATTGGATTATGATGATCAAAACAAGATACCATAATGCTTCACCACCAAGACTCTACGAATCTCAGTGAGCTGGTCATTCTATTGAGCCAGACACCGTATTATTCATGGTTGGCAAAGCGGTTGACAAAGCGAGATAGATATCAGACTATCAGCCAAGCCATGGCAGCACGCATCTTTCGCCAAGCCTTAGGTACCGCCGGTTTGCTGTTGTTGATGATATGTAATATAAGAGGACAAGGAGGAGCATGCAATCAGCAATGAAGAACTCTTGTTGAACCCCCGCCTGAAGTGAAAAAGCCCCACCAGACTGTGAGCGAGTGGTTGGAAGTTTGTTTCCTGTCGTCTCAGAAGATGGGAATTGGGATTGCAGATTTGCAGAGGGATCATCTCCTCCACTTGCCGACCTATTGTTAGGTACTTAGGTAGGTAGCCCTTCTGGTGTAAGTCGCAGCTCGATTCGAAATACGCACTCGCACTGTGGAGTGTGTATTGTAATCTGTGGATACGCCTCAGTAGGGTGCGTATCATGATTCAGTCAGTTGAAACCTGAACAACCTCCCTTAGCCCAACCAACTAACTAACTGGGAGTTTTGCATCTTCTAGAAGACACCGCTGTTTTGTCAGCAGCCAGAAGGCAACTTACGGTATCATGCATGCCTGGATTCCCTGCCTTTACAGGTTGTTTGTTGTCAGAGCCAAGTTCGACAATATGTATTGGCGGCCTGGTCCCATCAGCTCGTTTCCAGCAGCGCTGATGTCATGGACATTTCTTTA